ACGTCGACCTGTCACAGATCAAGCAGCCAAGCGAGAGAGGATACAAGTATCTGATGGTGGTGGTCGACGATACATCAAGGTGGCTGCAGACTTACTTCCTCAAGAAGAAATCGGATGCCCCTGCCGCATTCATCCAGTACTGCACTGCAGTCCGCATGCCTAAGGCAGTGAGGACAGATGGAGGGGCGGAGCTCATCAAGGGCCAAGAAAGAGTTCTGCGAGACAAATCAGATACGACAAGAGAGGAGTTTGCCATATCATCAGTCCCAGAATGGAGTGGCTGAGCGAGCCATTAGTGTGATTTGTGCTATGGCGCGTGCACTGCTGTTCACTGCCGGCTTACCCGCATCTTATTGGTGTTATGCGACGGCCACAGCGACATACATTAAGAACCGCACGCCAACCGCAGCCAACGAAGGAATGAAGACGCCACATGAGCTCTTCATCGGCTATCCACCCGATGTCGGCCACATCCGCACCTTCGGCTGCAAGGCACACATCAACCAGAGGAAAGAGACGATTGGCAAGATGGACCCTCGCACGCAGATCGGCATCTTACTTGAGTATGACCCAGCGACCAAGGACGGCTATTTGGTGTACCTGCCGCACACACGGCAATTGGTGCTGTCACGCGATGTGGTGTTTGACGAGGCGATACTGCGTGGACAAGAGAAGAAGCCACGAGCACCACCAGCAATCGATCTCATCTACCTACAACGACCCGAGACACTTGTGAGCGAGCCCTTATGAGCAATCGAAGACATACACGACGACAATAACGAACCACACCAGCATCAGGAGACAAATGATGCCCAAGATGACATGACGATCATTAAAGAAGACGGCAATGGTCAAGAGGGGGAGGAAGACAGTGATAAGCAACAGACAAGAACGACAAGAACAACGGATGAGCGACGCATCCCTGGACGCGTCTATAAAGACCACTTCCTCGATCATCCTGACCTGCTCTTTGTGAATGAAGACGACAAGACCGCACAAGACCCATCACTTCCACGGCTATTTCAGCCAACCATACCAAAGACCTATGACCAAGCGATAAAGTCAACAGCAGCAGACCAATGGAAAGAAGCTATGGATTGTGAGATGAAGTCGATTGAAGACCTGGGAGTGTTTGAGTACGTGCCGGAAAACGCCGCAACGACCAAGATCATCTCATGCACATAGGTATTTGCCCTGAAGCCTGACAAGTACAAAGCCCGCATCGTCGCAAGAGGATTCGAACAAGACGGCAACCAAGTGGATGACGTGTTTTCCCCTACGCCCTCCTACCACATTGTTCGATCGGCGTTTGCCCTGGCGAATCAACTCAACTTGGAGATACATCAGATGGACATCAACACAGCATTCCTCAACGCCCCGCTGGACAAGCCTGTCTTTATGCGGTGCCCCCCTGGATATAAGAAGCCCGGCCATGTTGTTCGTCTATGGAAGGCATTGTATGGCCTCAAGGAAGCCCCGCGAGCATGGAACATCACCCTCCACAACCAACTACTCGACAGAGGGTTCGTTCGCCACCCTCAGGAGCCCTGTGTGTACCTGCACAAGGACAACAACATCCTCCTTGTGGTGTTCGTCGAGGATATTCTCATCGTCAGCGAACAAGAGGGGGTCACCTGGTTCAAGCAGCAGCTGTCAAGCGTGTTTGCGACGAAGGACCTGGGCGAGGTTGGCGGCTTTCTCGGCCTCAAGATCATCCGCGATCGCAAGAGAGGACCCTGCAGATCACACAGCCACAGTACATTGTCAAGATGCTTAAGAGATTCAGCATGGAGAATGCGAACTCAGTGGATTTCCCATATGCGTCCGACGTCCAACTGACCTCTGAGATGTCGCCGAAGACGGACGAAGAAAAGACGAAGATGAAAAAGGTCCCCTATCGGCAACTCGTTGGCGCATTGATGTTCTGCTCGGTCACGTGCCGCCCGGACATCGCTTATGTGGTCAAGGAGCTTGCACGATACGCTCACGAGCCCGGTCTTGAGCATTGGCAGGCAGCAAAGAGGGTTCTTCGCTATCTGAGTGGGACAAAAGACAAGGGGATCAAGTCCAAGGCTGAGCCAGGCAAGGAAGGTCGGATTGATCTGACTGCCTTCTCTGACTCGTCTTGGGCTGATTGTGTGGGTCGCAAGTCTAGTGGTGGTCATGTGGTGTTTGTGTGTGGTGGACCTGTGTATTGGAGTGCGAAGACTCAGCCACTGGTGACGCTTTCGTCAACGGAGGCTGAATACGTACAGATGAGTGAATGTGCCACTGCCCTCGTATATCTGGCGTCATTTTTGCGTGGCATACCTCTTTTTGGTGTTCGGTTTGGGAGTGCATATCTTATGGCTGATAATAGGGGAGCTATCCTGAGCGCACAGAATCCGATAGTCAGTCACAGAACGAAACACATTGACGTGCGTTATCACTACATACGTCAGCTAGTTCAGTCAGGCTTTCTCGCTGTTCGATACGTACGTACCAGTGAGAACATAGCTGACATACTCACGAAGGGACTTGGGCGTGAAGCGCACAAGTACCTGAGTGAGAGAGTTACAGGCAGGGTTAGATGGCAGTGAGTTTGTTGAAACGTGGAAGGGCAACAAGGGATGAATGAGTCTGCATCTGTGTACCTCCTTGGTGTGTTGTGGTCACTTGGGAAGGAAGGCCATCGTGGATGTGTTGTGATATGCTGTAACTGTTCCATCTGTGCACACACCACACCATTCGTGCTCATGCTTATGCTGATCTGTGCACTTGTCCACTGTGTGTGCGCGTTCGCTACCCAATGGTCATTTTCTGGATGCCTTTGTGCTTTCTTCGTGATTTTCTTTTCCTGAGTACACGCCGTGCTGGTTCGTCTTGAGAGGGGGTGTCAGGATTGCCAGCTTGGCAAGACGAACCACTGCGAGCTTGTGAACTAGGGTAGATTGCTGTGTAACGGAGAGAGAGAGGAGAAGACAAGGAAAGACAAGGAAAGCATTCTGAGGAGACACGATCTTATCAGCCATCACCGAAGTAGGATCTGTGTTGACCACCCTTCATGATGCCATACATGGACAGAAACAACTTTGACTGACTGGCCAGTCCATCGGTCTTATTAAAGTAAAAGCACTCTTACTCTGGGACTTACCGCCCAGCAGATCCTCTATTCAGCTAACTACAGGAAAGGTCCTCACCGGCCTTTTCGCTCACGAACAAAGGAGGGAAAAAAGAAAACGAATTTTGGCAATGCCTTCCGGTTTCACGAATTTCCTAAACATTCGCTTTTACTGTTTTACGGACACGCCTGCCCGAAGGGCAGGCACTCCACTTGTCCAAGAGGTGCAAGGCGCCAACAAATCGGCCTCGCAAGGAGGGAGGCGCCTGAGGGGGCTCGTATCGTTCCCGGTAGGTGACGCCACCGACAGTCCAGCGAGCATGAGGACCATCAGAGCGGTGTGGCTTCCTGCCGACATCTCGAACATGGGGGATCTTTGTCGTGAAGCGACGGAGGATCTCGGGAGCGGGAGCAGACCTGGGGGAGCGGAGTGTTGAAGAAACGCGAGTTTCGCTCAGGGAACAGAGATAAGAGCCAAGGCTTCAGGAAGCGCAGGAAGATGCAGCAGGGTTCTGCCCCCTCGTCTCAATGCCGTCCCCGGCCTAATGAGTTAGGGCCGACGGCGCCGCTAACCGGAAGCCGTCGGCGTAGGACATAAAAACCATCTCGACGTGCCACGATAGAGATTCGGGAAGAAAATTATAGTAGTTCCGAGCTCATGACCTGTCAAACCCAAAACCTTCTGATCGACAGTGGCCACGGGTGCGAGCTAAGCTGACTTTGGAACGAATATTTCGAGGCATTGTTCGTTGGGAGATTAGAGGAGAATGTGGAGTGCGACCCATACGGCATGCACTCGGCGCTCAGAGGAGTGATCGTCTGAGCCTCTCGTGCTCCCTCAGCGGTTTCAGAATGTCTGGCGCTGGCTCACCGCCGACAGACAACAGTTTCCCATCGACTGGTACAGAAGCACCGCACACAACCGACAATCAGTCATTGTGCTTGACTCGCTCTCGCTCACGGAGGTTTCATCTGCTGTGCTGTGCTTTCCTGTGGGCCGTGTTGGCATTCAGTTGGTGTGCTGGGCTGTGCCCCGACGTGCCGACGACGACGCGGATCAGCATGACGTCACCGCCGAGCCAGCCAAGGTTGTGGATTTCAGCGACCCGCAGACCTATCAGGACCTCGCGACGCCCATGCCGGAGACCAGACAGGAGGACGCCAACCTCTACTAATTCAGATCCAGGCTGTAGTATGCACAGCTGCACTATACACAAAAGAACGCATCGCGTCGATTGTCTGTCTGTCTGTCTGTCTGTCTGTCTGTCAGTGGGCACACGCGGCTCATTCCGTTTAGCACAAACTACGTCCCATTCGCGCAGGCGTATCGGCAGGAGCCTCTAAACGATGTTGCCAACGACGAGGATCGTTTGGTGGAAGTGGAAATGCACTAGCGGCAGAGGGCACTAAGGGACGCTCTGCAGATTTGGTGCGACGACATCGGGTGCATCGTGTGCGGCAGCAACAAGGAGCCGCCAACCATCATGCATGCGTCCCGGTGGACCACAGGCTGACCGCCGTGCCCGAGGAAAACTGGTGGCCCACATGCACGTAAGAAAATGGATGCCACTCTTCAACGACGACGTGCAACCTTTCTTCCGATTGCACTATGGTCTGGGGTCGACCCCATGGCGCTGCCAGCCCCTCGTTCGTCATCACCCTCGACCCGCCAGGTTGCCTCAGGCGCCCTCCCGATCTGTACTTGGCTGGCGAGCCCTTACACGCGGGGCTGGTGACGTCGCTGTGGGCGCAATTAGCGATATCCCGATTAGCCGTCAGGGGCAGCATGGGATGTGTGGATCACTGCCGTTGGACTGTGCGCCTGAAGATCCGTCAGCTAAGGCGTTTGGCCTTTTGAGTTGTGTGGAGAAGAGGCGGCGGACGAGGAGTTCGCTGTCGGTGCCTGTCGCGCACAGTGACGTGCCGTTTACTGCCGATGGACCGGTGGAGGAAGAAATGGATGAAGAGGATGAGACAGTTCAGCATGCGGGGATACACATATAGCATCGAATAGATATGTTTTTCTCTATGTGTGCACACAAGATACATGCATGTGTCGATCGGATGCGCCATGGGAGCTGGCATTTTGCATTTGACGAGCTGCCAAGGCAAGGATAAGTAGAGCTCGACGTGTGGATTCAGCCGGGCCACGCCCACCAACTTGAGGTGGGCGGGGCCCGGCTGAGCCTCCATGCATGTCTCATCCTCTTCATAATGCTATTCCCCAGACAGTTTGACTTGAATAGAGAAGCAGTGCGTGTCTGCTTTCGCGGGTCTGTCCATGATGGTAGTGTTATACATAGTGGCGTGTCTTGTGTGTCTGAATAAACAGCTCTCGTGTCTGTTCACGATGTTGTTACTGTACATGCTGACTTGCGTTGTGTCTCAGAATAGACGGCTCTTTTGAAGGGCTGTCGACGCTTCATGTATTGCATGCCCCTCGAGGTCCAGTGGCGTGTTCCCGGCGTATGTTGCTTTCCTTCCGTTATTCTTCCCCAAACCCTAGACCTTCGTGCTAGTCCCAATGCCGCGCGCGGCCTAATGAGTTAGGGCCGACGGCGCCGTTAACCGGAAGCCGTCGGCGTAGGACATAAATACATATCGACGTGCCACGGTAGAGTTTCGGGAAGAAAATTATAGTAGTTCTGTGCTCATAACCTTTCAAACCCTAGGAGGGTCGTCACCTCAAACCCTAACCCTAAACCTTTTTGATCGCCACGGTGCGAGAGCTAAGCTTGTGATTGGAACGAACGTTCTGAGTCATTCTTCGTTGCGAGATTAGAGGAGGATGTGGAGTGAGAGTCCATACGCCATGCAGTAGACGCTCAGAGGACTGATCGTCTGAGCCTCTCGTGCTCCCTCATCGGTTTCAGAATGTCTGGCGCTTTCTCAGCGCCGACAGACACTGGCTCACCGCCGACGAACGAACGAACGAACGACAGACAACAGTTCCGATCGACTGGTACAGAAGCACCGCACACAACCGACAATCAGTCATTGTGCTTGATTCGCTCTCGCTTACTGAAGTTTCCTCTGCTGTGCTGTGCTGTGCTGTGCTGTGCTGTGCTGTGGGCCGTGTTGGCATTCAGCTGGTGTGCTAGCCCGTGCCCCGACATGCCCCGACATGAACGACCCGCAGACCTATCAAGACCTCGCGACGCCCATGCCGGAGACCAGAGAGGAGAACGCCAACCTGTACTTCTTCAGATCCAAGCTGTAGTATGCACAGTTGGACTATACAAGGAAGAACGCATCGCATCGATTGTCTGTGGGTCTGTCAGTGGGCACACGCGGCACTTTGATTTTATTCCGTTCTGCAGCAACCACGTCCGATTCGCGAAGGCGTATCTACAGGAGCCTCTAAGCGATGCTGCCGACGACGTGGAAGTGGAGGTGCAGGAGCGGCAGAGGGGACTAAGGGACGCCCTGCAGCTTCGGTACGGCGACATTGGGTGCATCCTGTGTGGCAGCAACAAAGAGCCGCCAATCATCATAATGTGTAGAGGATGCGACAGCGGTTTTCATCCGACATGCGTCCCGGTGGATCCCAGGTTGATCGCCGTGCTCGAGGAAGACTGGTAGTGTTCCGCATGCACGTAAGACAATAGAGCGGGGAAGCGCATAACGGAGCCAGAAGGGATGGGAGGGATGGACAGGAGGCCAATAACGTCACCATGATCCGTTACCAGAACTTTTGCCCAGCAGACTGCAGTCTGCCAATATAATTCGTTACTAGAACTCGCGCTGTAGCACGAAGTTTTACAAGATGATGAAAACAATGTCATGGTGCGGGTGCATAAGTGAAATTCAAATCTCGGTGCAACGTGGAAGGACAAAATTAAGCTACAAAAAGGCAGAAAAGCCGTCAGGTGTGTAGAGAAGAGGCGGCGGACGAGCAGTTTGTTGTCGGTGCCCGTCGCGCATAGTGACACCCGTTTAGTGCCGACAGATCGGTGGAGGACGAAACGGATGAGGATGAGACACTTCAGTATACGGGGAAACACATATAGCATCGATTACATATGTCTATGTGTGCACGCCAGATACATGCATGTGTCGATCGGATGCGCCATGCGAGCTGGCGTTTTCCATTTGATGAGTTGCCAAGGCAAGTATAAGTAGAGCTCGACGTGTGGGATTCAGCCGGGCGCCGCCCACCAACTTGAGGTGGGCGGGGCCCGGCTGAGCCTTTATACGTGTCTCATCCTCTTCATAATAGAATTCCCAGACAGCTTGACTTGAATAAAAAAGTAGTGCGCGTCTGCTTTCGCGGGTCTGTCCATGATGGTAGTGTCATACATAGTGGCTTGTCTTGTGTGTCTGAATAAACAGCTCTCGTGCCTGTTCATCATGTTGTCACTGTACATGCTGACTTGTCTTGTGTCTCGGAATAGACGGCTCTTTTGAAGGGCTCTCGAAACTTCATGTATTGCATACCTCTCGAGATTCCTGTGGTTTCCCGGCGTATTTTGATGGCGTATTTTGCTTTCCTCCACTATTTCCCCAACCCTAGACCTTCGTGCTAGATCGTATACCCTAGGATGTACGCGGCACTTTTAATTCAGCCTGGGCTAGGGTATCAGCTTGCGCTCGCCTTACCATACTAGCTCGCGGGCGCACTCACAACGGAGGGAATTGGAGAGAAGGGGAAGAATGAGCGGCGCGAAGGGTTAGGGATTGTGTACGGCGGCATCTTACCAAACCAATTAGTATGGACAGACGACAGGACGACACGAGTCTCGTTAACGAACCAACCAACAGTCTTTCTGAGGAAAGATCCATCCACTGCTGATCCAACACAAACCGAAAGCACACAGCAGCTTTGGTTCTGATGCACAGTCTTTCTGAGGGGGGAAGATCCATCCATTGCTGATGTTGTTCTCGAGCTGGCTGCCTCTCGCCTTCGCCGTGACGCACAGGCGCACAGAGGAGCGACGGAAGGAGGCTGCAAGGTGAGTGAGTACGAAAGACACGATCTAAAGGGGCATCTAGATGTGTGTGTTGTATGGCAGAGATCGTCGGCCTGCCGGTGCCCTGCCGTTTTTGGGAGGACACTGTATGTGACCTCGAGTGCTACAATGAGGAGTGCGAATGGGACGGAGGCGATTGCCAACCAGGCATACACACTCACACGCACGCAGAGAGACGCAGATGTGTACGTCAGTGCATGTGCGCGTATGCAGGTGTGTATTGCAGCGACGCGGCGTCCTTCCGCAAGGGGAAGAACCGTTGAGGCACATGAACATATATGTGTATGTATATTTGGTTGATGCGTATACAGGCACACAGATTCCCATATCGTCCAAAGGAATCTGTATCTCCTTTAACGATCTGCTAGCGCTGTCCCTTCGATACTTGTAGCACAAACACACGAGTTCGCCCTCCCCCGCAATCGCCGCAAGAGCCACAATGCATCGATGCCGTCACAAGCCGAAGATCCATACACATCGCCCACTACCACTGAGACACACCAACATAAGTCAGTCAGTCACATGGCATCGTCGGGAAGGAACTCAGCCAGCCCATAGCCCTCCAAGAACTGCGGCAGATTGCGCCCCGTCCCCTGCACATTCGTCTTAGGCAGCTTGTCTCCCGCCTGCCACTCCGTTGCCGCCACCGGATACTTGGGCGTGCCGTCAGCCTTGGCGCCTTCTCCCCACCTCCCCTCCGGAAAGAGAGTGCCTTTGTCAATCCGATCATTCTTCCACTCGCCAGAGAACCACACCACTCCGCTAGACGTGTAGGCCTTGCCTTGGCCGTGTCGCTTCCCCTCCAGCCACTGTCCATCGTAGATGACACGCCCGTTTCTGAGCTCTTGTCCCCTCCCCTCCTTCTTGCCATCGTTCCACTGGCCCTGGTACAGCGTCTCCTTCTCATCCATCGTCCGCAGCGTTCCCTCGCCGTGAGGCCGCATGTTGCGCACGAAGATTCCGTGTCGCACGTACCCCTGGTAGATGCCGCCCTCCCAGGAGAGCGACGAGAGGCTGTCAGGTTCCTCGCCATACTGCTTCAGGCGCTGTTCCGCCTGCTCGCACCGCCTCTTCCAGTTGTCCCTGTCGGCCTCGGCCACCTCACAGCGCCGCTTCCACTCGTTAGCATTGAGCTTGAGCGTCTCCCTGAGGTCCTCGTGGACAGAGAGTTGCTTGAGCAGCTGCTCGGCTGTGATGGTGGTGTGGCCTCCTGTGTAGGGGCTTGAAACGCCCGCTGCGTGGCTCATACCGGACCACAAATCGGCGGGATCTGTGAGGGTGGAGCTGAGAGTGGACGGTGCGAGACGCCCACGGCCCCCACGCGAGCTAAGATATATGGGAGGGGCTCGGCCGAAAAAAGGCTGAGTTTGCAGCACCATCGGTAAGGACAGGCGCTGATTGCTATGTATTTGCTTCACTGGATGGATGCCTCATGTTTCTCTTGTGGATGCGGTTGCGAGGCTGCGAGAAGGCAGCCAAGATCTGCGTCCCCCTCTCTCCCTCTCTCTCTCAGAGGATCTGAAGCATGCCTCGTTGCCGAGCAGCTGGATGCCACGAGCAGCATTCGACCCACCGCTGCCGCATCTGCCTCTCTGAGGACAGCAGCCACCGCTCAAGAGACTGCCCGCGTCAGCCCAGCCTCGTCATGACGCTCTTCCACGAGACAGACATCGCCAGCTATGGGGCCATCATTCGAGGTACACCCACGCACGTGTGCGTCCAGATCTTGACGTGCGTTGGTTTTCTGCACACTGTTGTGTGTGTCAGGGGGCGGTCTGCAGCCGAGCGGCAGCAACAATCTGATTGGCAAGGCCATCTACTTCACCGATGACCACCGCTTGACGGTCGGGAAAGCACGCCGACACGGCGTCATCATCGCTTGTCAGGTCAGTGGTCAGTGCAAGCAGCGAGAGGGGAGACTCTTGCAATGCTTCTAGTCGTCACGTGCAGGTACGTCCAGGCCGTGTGAAGCTGATGCCTGATCGTGGCGGCTCGTCTCTGACACGGGAGCGGCTGCAGCGAGAGGGCTACGACTCGGCCATGTGCCACCGAGGCGGCAAGACGGAATATGCCATATACGACCCCTCCCGAGTGACCATCGGCAGCCTCTTGCCGGGCACCGAGCAGGGTTTTCCCTTCATCCGCTTGTTCGGCTTTGATGGGATAGGTGTGACGCCTCCGCCAGGCAACATGGGCCTGCAGTGGCGGATCGAGAACGGCCAGTACACGAGGCCTGTGCTCACGCCGGGCAGCAGAATACCTGCCGGTTTCCCGCCTGGGCCCCAAGGCCGGTGACGGGTGTGTGTCGTGCTGTGGTTGGTGCTCATGCTGTCATGGGGGCTGGGGGGGTAATCACAGCTGTACATTACTGGTTTGTGTGTTGTCATCAGCCAAATGATGGATATGAGGCGGTTGGTAGGGGCGGTACCCTCACACTGGGGTAGGGCGTGCTCTCTTGTCCAGTTCTGAGGGGCGAGTTTGTGAGTGCGTGGGCCGCCTGTTTGTAGGCGAAGATCGTGTAATGTGTCAATAGTTGACCTACACGTGAGGACCTTCGTGTCACTCGCCAGTCACTAAATTCGTTCCTCACACACCCAAAAAACCATTCAAGTCGCATTCACTGCCTCGTCTATCTATTTGTCTGCCTTCATTCGAGTCGGCTTGCCTTGCCTTGCACCGTCCTCATGTATTGGTACACGCCAAACCCCACACACAGGCCGACAGCCAGTGTTTCCATGGTGTGGATGGTGCGTGTGGTGCTCATGCACCGCTGCAGGATGGTGCTGTAGGGCACATCAGCACGGCCCACATACACAAAGGGGGGAGGCGCAAACACACGCGGCAGCACCTGCATGGCCACGCAATACAGCACACGTGGGAGGCATCTTGTGTGTTGGGTGTCTCTACGCACCTTGTGTAAGAAGGATTGTATCCTGAAGTCCAGCAGCCACAGGTTTCGCCGAATCAATGGCGTCAGCCCACTTGCGACAGGGTACAAATAAGACAGCCTGAAGGAAACCCATACATGAACAGCAAGAGACGCACGTGTGGCTCAGATGGGCACGTACCAGACGATGGCCTTCGCCTCATTGGCGCGCATTTTGTCGTATAAAGCAAGCGCCTCGGTGAGGTCGTCATCGCACCGGTCGATGGCCCACTCGAGCAGCTCAACGTCTTGCAGGGCGCAGCTGACGCCCTGACGCAGGTCCGCGCACATGGAGTGCATCGCGTCACCTACCAACACCATCTGCGAGTCGTGATACACACGGTGGTCGATGTAGCTGTTAGACTGACACATCAATCCATAGAAAGAAGGATGAATGGATGGAGAGCAGTTTCTGTGTGCCTGTGTACCTACCGGGAATGTGTGCTCCTTCCGGGCGGCGAATCTGTCGGCCTCGTCCCTCGACACCACCGACCTGATGGGCACATTGGGGAAAGCCTTCTGCAGGTACTTCAGCACGTCGCGGCCACGCCTCATGCGCAGCAGTGGATGGGACCGATGAACGATCGCCATGCCAACCCTGCTCTCGTTCTTGCTGCATGGACGCGTCAAGGAGATATTCAAGCGTCAAGATACATGTTGATTCGTGCGTACGGTGATGGGTAGACGTGCAGTCTAAATGAGGATGATGAGAGCGTCAGCGGCGTCCCGGCAGGGAGGGGCGGCTGCGAAGATGACAGCGGCAGATCACTCGGAAGAGAAAAGGTCCTGACAGAAGAGGAAAGCAGGCAGCCAGAGGTGCACCCACACGTGGGAGGCATCTGCTCCCTCACTGGCTGACTTGTATCTCATGTTCTTCACGCCATTGCACGACGACGGCCTTCCCAGCGTCACCCTCCTGCACATGGGGTCCATTCTCGCCATCACGTCCGCCACCCTCGACTCGCCCCCGTCGGCGCCCACAACCAGCCTCGCACTCATAGTGTACACCTCACTGCCCCCGTCGGCGGCACTCTCACGCACAGTCACATCCACCATGTCACTCCCCTGCTCGTCACACCTCTCCACATTGATAACGCGCGAGTCAGTCGCCACACGAATCGAATCAGACCATCTCGCGTCGATGTGCTCGCAAAGCGCCTTGGTGAGTTGATTCCAGGATATAAACCACACAGACGGCGAGTGAGATGATGTGCTGCTGCTGCTGCTGTGGTTGTCACCCCGCCGCCTCTCATGCTCCTTGATGAGCACACTCCTGACGCGCTTCGGCGTGACGACCGTCACATTGTGGAGGGCGTTAGGCAGGCATGAAGCACGGACGGCCACGAGCACGCCGAGAGAGGAGAGGACACGCTGCGCCCGTGGGAAGAGGGTGAGCATGTGTGATGGGTCGGAGGTGTCGTTCATGTAGGCTGATGCGCTCCTCTGCTCCAGGACGGTGATGTCGCGGTAGCCGCGCTTGGCCAACATGATGGCTGCATGCACACCCACAGAGAGGAACACACGGAGCAGACGGTGAACATCCATGAGTGTGTGCTGTGGATCTGACTCATCACGCATGTGTGCAATGGATGTGTACCTGTTGACAGCCCCGCTGGCCCTCCGCCAGCCACGACGACGGGATCATACCGAAGCTCACCCACGGCACCAAGAGGAGTGTGAGCAGCCGCAACCAAGAGAGGCAATAATGAATATGTCATAGCCGTGACTTCTATACTGATGTGTCCATGCTTCGTAGACCGTCAGATCTGGGCCTTTTCTCGCCGCCGATCCAACCTTCAAGCTCGCAAATACGCACCCTCATCCGTCAGGCCGCTTAGGACATTCCGTGAAACCGCTCTCTCACTCCCTGATCCGCCGTCATGCAGGCGCTCTTTATCGTTCTGCTGCTTCCTCTACTGGCTGTTGTTTCATCCGGGTTTCGACCTCACCACTCATCTGTCCTCTGCCGATCTTCGAAAGACTGCCGCAGCCATCGCTCTCGTCTTCACTTGGCGGAGGCCACTCGAGAGGCATGGCCGATTGGCCGCGCACTCCAGACATTCTTTCGCGGCGTCATGGCGCCATCTGCCCGCGCACCCGGGCTGTCGTCTTCTCCTCTCGCCGACACCACCATGCCCGATGACCTGCGACGAGGCACTGTCTTGGTACTGCTACATTAGCAGCAACACGGCACATGAAATGCGCATCTGCACATTTGTTGCCTTGCGGTTGTGTTGCCTGTGTGTAGGTGGTTGGTGGCACCGGCGGTGTGGGCAAGAGGGTGGTGGAGCGGCTGAGGAAACGCGGCATGCGGGTGCGGGCCATCGTCCGCAACAAGAGCAAGGGCCTAGCCTTCCTCAGTGGCGGCAAAGAGCCCTCTCTCAAGAACGATGGCTTGGAGATCGCTGCCGCTGATATCACCAAGCCCGAAGAGATACGCCCGCACCTCTTCCGCGACGTTGTGGCCGTCATCATCTGCAGTGCCGCCATCGTGACGCCGCGCGAGGGCGACACGCCGGATCGCGAGAAATATTATCAGGGCATCAAGTTCTTCGAGCCCATGGTGGTTGACTCGCCCGAAGAGGTGGACTTCCGTGGTGTCCAGAATGTGGTGGAGGCCGCACAGCGGTTCGCATCGCTCGACACACTCAAGCTCTTCAGCGCGCAGGTGAGCAGATGGACTGGAAGACGCTTGATGGAGTGCTGGATGCATCAACTTTTGTGTGTGTGTGTGTGTGTGTGTGTTATGTTTGTGCCTGCAGCCTGGTTTTCACGACACATGGGAGGCGTGGGGGCCGCTCGATGACGTGGTCATGGGCGGGGTGTCGGAGAGCAACATCAAACTGGAACCAGGGGCAGCAGAACCAAACACAGGTCAGCAAAACACATGACGTCATTCAGCTCAAAGCCCGATTGCCCTCATGCTCTCTCTCTCTCTCTCTGAGTGTGTGTCTACAGGTGCGACCGTCGCAGCCGTCTTCAGCGGCGAAGTCAAGACGGCCAATTTCGGCGGTTTTGTGTCTGTTCGGACCCGCAAGTTCGACCCGCCTCTCGACCTGTCTGCCTATGAAGGGCTGCGACTACGCATCAAGGGGGACGGATCGCGCTACAAAATGCAGATACGCGACAATGCCGGGTGAGGACAGCAGAGATGGATGGGAAGCGGACATCGACTTTTTTTTGTCTTGCGGTGTGTGCAGGTGGGATTCGCCTTCATGGGGCATGGGCTTCGACACTGTCAAAGACGAGTGGGTCACCGTCGACCTGCCCTTCTCAGACTTTGTTCAGAATTTTCGAAACATGAAGACGAAGGTCAGCCACTCAGCCACTCGCACCTGCCCGTCACTTGATGGATGGCTCTTTTTCTCCGTATGTTCTGTGCAGGATCCTTCTGCCAAGCTTAAGACGAATGAAATATACTCGCTGCAGCTGATGCTCTCCAAGTTCGAATTCGACGGCGAGCTCAACCCCTCCTTCACTCCAGGCAAATTCAGGTCAGCCACCGGCACCCATTCATGCGCACATGCATTCAAATGTGTGTTGGGTGTGTCAGGTTGGTCGTGCAGTCAATGGAGGCCTACCCTGACGAGTCAGCGAAGTCGCCCAGACTGATTCAGGTGTCATCTGCCGGCGTCACGCGACCCGGCAGGCCTGGACTCGACCTCGAGAAGGAGCCGCCGGCTGTGCGCATGAACGACATGCTGGTCAGCCAGGGGGAGGGAAGATATAGCTGCTGCGATGACACCAACCACGTCACAAGTGTGTGTGTGTGTGTGGTTGTGTGTGTTCAGGGCGGCATTCTGACCTACAAGTTGAAGGGCGAGGATGTGGTGCGCGACAGCGGCGTCACCTACAGCGTCATCCGGCCATGCGCACTCACAGAGGAGCCAGCCGGCGCGCCTCTCCAGATCGGCCAAGGCGACGAGATCAAGGGCAAGATCTCTCGTGAGGACGTGGCTGACTTGGTGGTGGCGTCACTGCTCACCCCAGCCGCCGCCAACAAGACCTATGAGATCAAGTGCACCCTCCCCTTCAGCGAGCCGTGGCAGCCGAAGGCAGACGCGCCGCGCGAGAGGCCCCTGACCTTCTGGGCGGAGCTGCTGGAGCCGACCAAGACGGGCATCGATGGCAAGACACAGGGAGTGGTAGTGGCTGCTAAATAAGGCGGATGAGTCAAGTGTTCGTAGACTTTAGGAAGCCCCGGCAGACAGGGAGTGAGCAGCCGTCAGTAGCTTCTGAGCGCTCGTGTTGTATTTTTCGTGTTCTACGATGAGTTTATCGCAGTGTGACCAGTGCTATTTCTCGTTGTGATTGCTTCAGCAATCCATTTGACCTTGTTAGGCAGTGACCAGGTAGCATCAATCATGCTGGAATCCATGGGAACAATCCCCTCAGAGCGCCCCTCTCATTCCTTCAGTGCACGCTCAAGCGGTGAGTTTGTGTTTTCAGAAGTTGAAGACGTAGCTTGGCTGATGGAGCCTCTTGACAAGAACGGCATGGCGTCAGGCAGCACTGTCTGCGGCGCACCGCCCCTCTACGAGTCCGACATGTCAGCTCTACCACGTTCTCTGCCCCACAACCACATAGACAACAACGGAGCGACCGAGGACGGCGCCGATAGGAGAGGTGTCATCAAGTGGTCACCATCGGAGGACGATTCGCCGCACGAGAACACGTCGATAGCGTCGTTCCGCGGCGGGTTCTTCCCAGATGCCCTGGAGCCGCCCTGCGGCTCGTTCAGCGTGGCGGGAGACCCTTCGGACACCGTCCACGAGGGGGTGTTGGTGGAGACGCTCAACTCGCTGCAGGAGATCCCGGCGCTGACCAAGGCGAAGCTGTTTGAGATCCGTGAATTGGACGAGCGGCAGACGGACCTGATGCGGGCCGTGGAGGCGCTGCACAAGGAGCTGCACGTGCAGCAGCACGACCGGCTTAAGGCCAAGCGTGGGGCGGCAGCACTGCCACTGATCGACAGTGAGATGGGCGAGGAGGACAGGGGGAAGCTTGAGAACCTGGATGAGATGAAGGGGCAGGTGAGGGAGATGGCCGACCGCAAACTGCACCTCGTCATGGAGTTCTACGACCACGTATCTCATCACACAACCACACAACACACATAGCACACAGTGCCAGTGGTGGATCAATGGCTGGCTGTGTCTGTGTCTGTGTCTGTGTGTATCAGTTGGACCAGAAGGTGAAGGAGATGGACGATAAGTACAACCCACCAGCCGCTGAGGCACCAGGTCAGCACACACACACACGCACATGGACGGTCCACACACGCACATGGACGATCCATGTATGTGCTGTTCTGTTTTTTGCCGGGTGCGCCAGGGGGTCCGTCTGCAGCAGGTTTGGGCGCTGGCGGCGCGCATAACGCCAAGCACCATCGCAAGAGGAAGCACCACATTCCCAAGCTGATCCCCAAACTGCTCAAGAAACAGAAGCAGGAGCACTCACTGTACGCATCCACACTCACACAGGGACGACACTGATGGATTCGTTTGTTTGTTTGTTTCTTTGTTTGTTCGTCCGTCAGGGGCTTGGAGGGGTCAGCATTGGGTGCTGAGGGAGAGGGAAAGCCCACATCGGCCGACCCACTCTACTGTTTCTGCAAATCGGTATGATGCTTCGTGGATCTCCCTCTGCCTCTACGTGTGACTGTCTGTCTGTCTGTCTGCTGGTGCATTCATGCAGCCTTCTGACGGCCTGATGATAGCGTGCGAGAACGAGGATGTACGCAACACACACACACAGAGAGAGTTGCACACACAATACACAGCGACACAATGCACCCAACCACACAGCCCAGACCGACGTCGTGTGCGTGTGTTGTTTGTGCATCCATCCATCCATCCATCGACGGTGCGTTGATGCAGTGTCGGTTTGGCGAGTGGTTTCACTTCCCGTGTGTCGGCCTACGCGAAACCGACAACCCACCGACATGGTCAGTCGCTCAGGCACTAAGTCAGTCAGGCCGCTTAATCCGTGTGATGGACGTGTGCATGTGTTGTGTGTGTGGGTGCGTCGGTGCAGGACGTGCCCGGGCTGCCGGAAGGACCCCGCATGGAAGAAGGTCGGTGGATACAGACGAGTGTTAATATTATAGTCATGAGTGCACTGGTTGGCTGCCTCTCTGTGACTCTCAGTTCTGGAAGACCAAGGCCCCTGCTCTGTAGCTAATGATTCACACTCTGTAGCGCAGCACAAGACACCTGTTGTGTCGAGCAGCTGCATACGTGCAGGGGCCTGCCGTGTTTGCCTTTTGATGGTTTGCTGGCTGCATGGACGGAAGAGGAAGTGTGGAATGCAAACTGAATGAATGGACCCGGCGTTCCTCTGCCCCTCTTCTCTTCCCCCCCGGTGTCACAAACATCATAACACAGTACGCACATGGGCCGAGGACAGGACGCTCACCACACCAGAAACCAGTCGACTATGCAGTGCAGACGCATCACACGTACAGTAAGGCAGGCCGGCTCTCTTTGTACACACACACACATGCACGCGCAGCACGCAGACAGACACACATGTACATGTGACAGAACAGAGACGCACGCATCACCGTCAGACGAGTGCAGTCAGCAGCTGGCGCCGAAGCACCAGCACTCATGATCCCTCTGCCCCTGCTGCGCACGGCCGTGGTAGAAGTCGGCCGTAGCGACGAAGCCTGCATGGGCCGCCCTGACGGCGGGCTTACAGAAGAAATTTGTCGTGGTTTCACACGCGGTAATGAGATCATTAAGGAACCAGTTGTTGCAGTCATCGGCTTTCGTCCCTGACCAGAGAGAAACAAGGGAGAGAACAGAGAGATAAAACCCTTGTCCTGCCACCAAGCCAACGTCAGCATCCTCCCCTCCCTACCTATCGTGTAGTAGCAGATGAAGTGCTTTTGGCACGCGAGTGTGAAGTCAGCGCTCCCAAGCGAGCTCGGCACCCCAGTGGGACAACCGTTCGGCACCTACCACGGACCAACGAGCAGAATTTGTTGTCGCGTGGGCTCATTCGGCCTCTACCGGCTTTGCGATCCAAGAGGTGCAAGGCGCCAACAAATCGGCCTCGCAAGGAGGGAGGCGCCTGAGGGGGCTCGTATCGTTCCCGGTAGGTGACGCCACCGACAGTCCAGCGAGCATGAGGACCATCAGAGCGGTGTGGCTTCCTGCCGACATGATGATGATCTCGAGTGGTAACGCAAGCGAAAGCGAGGCGGAGGGAAAAGTACGGAGGACCTCTGCGAAGATCTGCCCGGCAGGAAGGGGTTAAAGGAAGGGTTTGAACCCGTGACCCAGAACCCTCCATTTGGGCCTCTCCCCTCCTCCCCAGTCCAGTTTTCCTCCCAGATCCTCCGTCGCTTACCGATAAAGATCCCCATAGGTTTTCTCTGCGTCACCACGAGTTCGAGATGTCGACAGGAAGCCACACCGCTGTGATTCTTCTCCTGCTCGCTGGACTGTCGGTGGCGTCACCTACAGGGAAGGATACGACCATCAGGCGCCTGGATGCGTGTGACGATCTGTTGGCGCCTTGCAGCTCTCCCTACGCACAGGTAAAGGTGAAATGACCGCACAACGAACGCGACGACACAGTGCTCGTCTCGCTGGTCTGTGGCAGGCGCCGGACGGGTGCAGCGGCGTGCCGAACAAGTATGGGAGCGTCGACTTCACAGAGGTGTGCAATGAGCACGACCGCTGCTACTATACGCTAGGTAGGAGGGGAAGGGAGAGACGTTGCAGGGGAAAGAACAATGTGTGTCTGTTCTCCTCATCGTGGCCTCCTCTGCTTCTCTCTGGTCAGGGTCGAATGCCGATGACTGCAACAACGACTTCCGTGATGCTCTCATCCGTGAGTGTCAAACATCCGCGACGTCCCGCTTCTTGCTGCGCGCCTGCAAGCTAATCGCCAACAAATACTATATTGGGGTCGCCGCCACGGCCGACTTCTTCCACACTCGTGCGCAGCAAAGGCAGAAGATCCATGAGCACTGTTGCTTTTGCTGTGCATAATGGATGCCATCAAGAATAGCACTGTGGCTGTGGCATCCTTGTCTATGTATAGTTTCTGTCGTGGTGTGTTCTCTCCCTGAGCCTACTCTCTCGTAGGTAGTGCCTCGTGCCGTTCTGTCTGTATGCCTTGCATACGTGTTCGTTGTGTTAGGTTGTATTGTATTGTGCTGGGCGCCGGTACATGTGTGTTTATGTACACAGTGCATCTGTGGTGGGATCCATTTGGGGCACCAGACAAACACATTGGTGAAAGTTAGTAAATCATCATGGCAAATCCGGCAGCAGCGGACAGCCTCAACTAGCGTTACGACAATTCGGTCAGCGGCTCGTTCTCTCATTGCTTATCGATTCACGCACTGTCAGCGAGAAACAAAGCAAATACAACACATCGATCGATCGTATGTGCATATGTATGTATGTATGTATGTAGCTGCGCACACCTGTGTTCGTCGAGACAGCTGCGTGATGTGAAAGTGTCTGACTGTCTCTCCACGTGAACTTATGAGAGACATGCGCCTTGGAGCACATTTCGTTCTCATTTGGAAATCTCATGTCATATCATTCACTTGACGTATACATGTGTGGTGCGCATGTGTCTCTCGTCGGTCTCTTATCCGTCCCATCTCCCACCACCCCTCCCCTCCCCTCCCCGTCCCATACCATTCACGCCGCATACACATCATCAGTGTGCAGTGCAGTCACTTGCTATTGACAGAGAATGATCATATCAGAGCACACACACACACACACGAACACAGACAACGAGCCACTCAGGTCAGGTCGGATCACGCGAGAAGATGGCACACACACATACACACAGTCACTTGCTATTGACAGAGAATGATCAGATCAGAGCACACGCACAGCAACAAAGACACCGAAGCACTGAGATCAGGTCAGAGCTATCAGGTCAGAGCTCGGTAGACCAGGGCTTAGCTAGGTACTGATATTAACACAAACAACAAGGGCTATTCAGAGAGAGAACTATCTATTTCACACACGAAGAGCAGATGCAGCCGACTAGGCTGCGCGAGACAGTGAGTGGCGGTGAGTGGCAGTGAGTGGCGCGGCGCTGCCGGCCGACCAGCGAACGAACAAACGAACGAACGAAGAACTACCTATACATACCTCTCACCCACTAGGCTAGAACACAATACAATACAGCAGTACACCACCATGCACACATTCACACGCACACCCACAACCCACACAGATACATACGTGTGCATACAGATATCGACTGGCCTAGTTGCAGACAGGAAAAGGAGAACAGGCAGCCTTGCACCAACACGGCCAGTAGGCGTGGGCGACCCTTATGTGGTCCTCGGCTGCTAGATGGTCTTTCGCGAGAACAGGCAATAACACGTGACCAGGACACCCACGAACAAGACAGCAGCCCCTCCACCCAGCAAGGCCCACTGATGCCATGCGAACTCCTCCATCGGCAGCTCCGTGGGGGTCCATTTGCAATCGGCACACGTGACGGCCTTCAGTGCGTTGACCTGGCCCCCCGTGACGCACAGGCCCTCGAGCGAGTCCATCTTCTCGGAAGTCGACAGAATGCGATGCTTGATGTCGCGATAGCTCTGCGCCGGATCCATCGACCACAGAAGGGCAGCCAAACCTGAAGTCACAGACAAAGCAGCGATTGAGTGGATCGTCTAATGGGTATCACACAGCAGTCCTCAGTGCTTGCGTACCAGCGACGAATGGCGTTGCCATGCTGGTGCCCTGCATTTTCTCATACTTGCCATTGGGCACGGTCGAGGCGATTCTCGTCCCCGGCGCAAACACGTCAACGCTCTCGAGGCCGTAGTTGCTGAACCACGCCTTCTCTCCTTCCTTAGTCGCCGCGCCGACGCTGATGATGCTGTCCAGCTCAGATGATGCCGGGTAGCCTTTCCTGGGGCCGTCATTGTCGTTGTATTCGTTGCCAGCCGCGGCGATGAACAGCATGTTGGCCTCCTCTGCCTTCCTGATGGCCTCCTCGAGCGCCCTGTATGCAGTAAACCCAAGGTAGCCCCAGCTGTTGCTTGTTAGTGTGGCCCCCATGGCAACGGCATAGTTGATCGCGTGGATCGAGTCAGCAGTGTACCCATTACCAAGCTGATGCAGGCGCACACAGACATGTGATTTGAGCGCTTCGCGACCCTATGTTTACTCGACTTACCGGGCCGCAGAGGAATTTGAGTGCCATGATCTTGGTTCTGCCAAATGCCACGCCTGCGATGCCCTCCTGGTTGTTGGCAGTCGCCGCTATGGTCCCTGCACAGTGAGTGCCGTGGCCACCCTCATCCATAGGATCGCCGTCGCCAATGTGCGGGTTCTCGGATCCGTCGCACCAAGCCCAGCCGTGAATGTCATCAACAAAGCCGTTACCTGCACACAGACACATACAGACCCAGGAATGCATGCAGATCGTGTGTGTGGATGTCCCTTCCTGCATCCTCCCTCCCTCCCTCCCTGCATCCCTACCGTCGTCATCGATGCCGTTGCCAGCGATCTCGCCTTGATTGACCCACATGGCGTCCTTGAGGTCCGGATGGGTGTAGTCACCGGTGTCAATCACCCCGACCACCGTACCTTTGCCCACTGAGTCGGCCCCACTGGCCGTCTCCTGCTGCTGCTCAGACAGGAAGGCCCAGGCCTCGGGCATATCGATGCTGGCCATCCCCCACTGCTCCTTGAAGATTGGGTCGTCGGGCACGAAGCGGTTGGGCTCCTGTGCTGCCCGGGCACGCAGCCTGCGGCCAGAAGCCGTCGCAACAACGGCATCCGGCTCGCAGATGTCGATCTCATCCGACACCAGGAGGGCAGCCTCGCATGTGGCCGCTGCATCGACACCTAGCGGCAGATCCACCACGTCCATGGACAAGCTGTTGAGGTGGTGGACCGTCGTCTCAGCCGTGTGCACGGTGGTCTCGGCTGACAGGGAGGCCTGCAGTGCCCTCGAGATGGTCTCTGCGCGGGCAAGGCCCTCGGTGTGTGGGTGCTTGAGCTTGACGATGATGCGGTGGATGCCAGCTGCACCAGCTGGACGCGGTGGCAGACTGCTGAGGGCACGGACGCGCGGCTGGTCGTTGGCGGCACCATCACTCACCAGGCTGAATGTGCTGTAGGAAACCACAGGCGTCTTGTTTGCAGAGGGCTGACTGGCCACCAGGGACAGGGCGACCAGCAGAGTCCACACGATTCCCACAAGCTGAGCCATTGCCGACGATAGATAGATGACAGGGCGATGGAGAGCGATGATCAAGTCGTCGAGGAAGGATCAAGGTGATGATGCCAAGAGAGAGGGCGAGGCAAGAGTAGATCAGGTGGAAGGCTCGAAGGTGGGAAGTGAAGATCTGGGACGATATCTGCCTGACGATAGATGGAGGGATAGATAGATGGAGGGACAGATAGAGGGATGGATGGGACATCCCTCCCTCCCTCCCTCCCACCCCTGGCTCGCAAAATCTCCGTGAAACCGCTCTCTCCCACGAATTCCGTGAAACCGCTCTCCCCCCATTTTGTGAAACCTCTTGTGACGAAACTATGTGTCGGCCCGCAGGTGGATAACCTCGGCTATAGCCCAGTTGGTTTCTCAACAGGTCATGTGCCCACTGACCTCGGTTCGAACCCCAGTTAACACCATTAAGGGGTCAAGCCGGGCGGAGAACACTCCTGTTGAGCGCTGCGGAGGGGTCGCGAGTTTGATTCCTGGAGGTAACACCGGAAATGTTGGAAAGGCAGGAGTGGAAAGGGGAATACCCTACCTCTGCGGTCTGAAGGGGGGTGTCGAGGAAATGATGTATCGGCTCGCAGATGGATAATCTCGGCTATAGCCCAGTTGGTTTTTCACACCTCTCTCTCTCTCTCTCTCTCTCTCTCCCTCTCCCCCTTCCTTTGAAGCCGCTGTCTCCCACTCTCTCGTGATGTGTTCATCTGTCTGTGCCGTGTGTGGGGGAAGGGGACGTTGGGTTGGGGTGTGACGGGATGGACAAGAGACAGAAATGCGGACCACACAATCAAGTGAATGCGGACCTCACAGAAATGTAACCAAGTGAGAACGAAGCGTGTGCACCCATGCGGCTCATGACAACGAGAACACACAAACTGGCACTAATCACTCTGCTTAATCATTCCCTCCCCTCATTCGTTCATCCCTCATTTGGCATCTCCACCGCCTCAATCGGATTGATGTCATTTAATGTGAGACATCACATTGAAAGGGGCCGGAGTGACTGAGTGACGCTTTGAGTCTGATGTCGGTCGCGCTGATTGGCTGACGCAACTTCAAACCGGTTTGATTGTGCGGTGACTGCTTCACCCGTGAATCACAATGGTGATTGACTGATAGTAGATCAACCGAATGGTGGTCATGTCTCACACAGATTCACATGACAACTTGCAAGTGTGCGATATGGTTGAGCCTGAATTGATCGACCAATTATGGTGCATGAGTGTGTGCGTCTCGGCCCTCGGGGATGAATAGACCGGCTGACCGATGGCTTGCAAGCTCTTTTGCGGTGACCATTCATAGTGACCCTTGCAGAAGAACAGAAACTCACTACAGCCTCCACCCAATCGAGCAGAAATCCACTACAAATGGACAGGGCCACAGATGCACTTCGCAAAATCACATCAACACACAAACTCACACACACGGACACACGCACCAGGAAGGACAGACAGACAGACAGACGACAGACCGACAGACACGGGCCAAGGGCTCTCTCGACTCACTCACCCACTTCACGATGACTACTTCTTCATACAAACAAACAAACGCACTCCCGTCACACAAAGGGAACACACACACACACATATACACACACACACACACTGACAGACATGAATTGACGCGCACAGGACAGCATGCTATTCACTCAGGCAGGCAGGGAGACAGAGAGGCGGGGAGACACATATCTCACCGCACGCAGTCCAGCAGATGAACCACATATTCATATCGGCACACACACATACACACGCACACCTCAGGGGCAGACAGGGGGAGGGATAAGAAGCTGGGCTATCTCGTCACACTCACTTCACAGCGAAAATCTCTATCTCGTCAGCTATGAATTGCCGACTGCCCCCCAGCAGAGCATTGCCATTCTCATCCGTCACCCCCATATAGCCCTCAGGCACATCGTTTGCGTCGGTGGACTGACGGCCCTTACGGATGTCGTCAGTGCTCAACGGCCAACAACCGCCCGACAAGGACCTGCCCAACGACAGGTCCCTGCCGACAACCACTCTCGCATTATAACGAGGCACAAGCCCCCCAAAACACGGAGCCATCGGGTTCCCCCAAATCTGAGATGCCACTAGGACATCCTGGCTCTGCTGGTCGATCTCTATCTTGGTCGCATTTTCGTAGTGGCCCGCCAGGGAGAAGAACCACACGTCACTCTCGTACCCGTGCCACCTCGGCATCATGCCGGTGGTGCTATTGAAGGCGGGCAGCCTGATGCCCTCACTGATGAAGGCGCCGAACGCGTACTGGGCGTTGCGGATGACAATCACCACGTTGGGCTTGTTCTCAACACAAGCCAGCATATCACCATATGCAGTACCGGCAGAAGAGGACCTGTATGTCACACACACAAAGGGGACAGACAGCCACTGCTGATGCTCTCGTGCGCACGCACAGGTGTGCCTATGTGTGTGTCTGTGTGTCTGTGTATGCGTACTTGTAGAGCAGTGTGAGCGTTGTGTTGTTGCCCAGCAAACCACAAAGGTCGTCATACTCCGACTTCGACAGCGACGAGCCAAAAGGCTGCAGACGACGGACCTGCAACAAAGCAAAGCAACACAGACAAACAGGTACACAGACAGAGATGATGCGTGTGTGCGGGCGGTGCAGACATACATGCTGGGGCACCTGTGTCGTGTCTGTGGGCGACGTGAAGGCATTGCTGCCCGTGACACAGAGGGCGAGCGTGACGGCCAAGCCCAACAGCATCATGCCACGCAGAGGGAGCGAAGGACAGCACTGCGTGCGGGAGTTAATTGGTACCCGATGGAATGCAGATCTGCAACTTTTCGGAAAAAGATGATGCGAAGATGGTCTCTCTCTCTCTCGCTCTCTTCGTTCTCTCTTCTCTCTCCCCTTCCCCTCCCTTCCCCCAGAATCGCAGAAGGTGCAGGGACTCAGGTGTAGGGTAAGCAACCCTGAGCCCCAAACCCTAGCGTCTCCTTTCCCCCTTGCAGCCGGCTGCTGGATGGAGTCGTGCATTCGTTCACCGATCAACCATTCCTCTGTTGGACTCCACATGTGCGCGCGTTGCGAGCTCAATAGCCTTAAGCCCCCACGTGCCCCCAACAAGACGGCAATATCTCAGGATGTCGCGTGCCGGCCATCCGCCGCTTCCTTCGGTTGCCTACAACCTGAATTCGCTCATAGTGGAGACCGCCGAGCGGCAAGGGAAGCTGCGAGGGAAGAGCAGAGAGGGTGCCATTGCAACAGTGACTGGGACAAGCAGCCGCCAGCAGACGGGACGGCAGACGGCCGGCAGCACTGCTGGCGGCCCCTACTCGCCTGGTATGGATGGGGGGATATCCACATGAGGTGGTCGGTTGACCGCGTTGCCTTTTGCAGTGCCCGAGTTGAGGGAGGCATGGGACACACTGAATCGATATCTCTCGCACGCCTTTCACCAGAGGCAGACCGTCCGAATCCCCAGCTTTGCGACCCTGGGTTGGACGCTGCAGAGGATCAGGCAGCACGCGTCCAACACTGGTAGACAGACAAACGCGTCCGGCTTGCGGCTGAGACAACATTGTCTGTCTCTGGTGGATACATGTGCAGGTGAGGAGGCCACTCACCCTCCACCAGCTGCAGTGCCCAAGACACCGGGCGGCACACAGTGCTCGGCCGCTGTCTACTTCCCCAACTTCAACCTCAGGTGCAAGCAACCGACAACTTGTGTGTCATCCTGTTGTGTGGTCCCATTCTTCGGTCTGGTGGTGATGTGTGCAGTGAGAGTTTCTGCCAGGCCTTCGGCCTGACGTTTGTCCGGGCGCGGGGACCCTTTGGTGCTCAAGACAGCACCAAATGCGAGGCAAGCGGAGCAACCGAATCCAATCTGTTCGCAGGGTGTGAATGAACACTTTACGTGTGTCTCAGGACCTCAACTTGAGCCTGATGGCTCTGCGATTCAGCAGAGGTGACATAGACAGACCAGTGGGAGGAATGCATAAACGCTCAGCAGGTGCGTTGGTGCAGGATTGACAAAACAGGCGTTGGCTTTCGACCTGAAGCTTCTGCTGCAGCAGCTGGGTAAGTGCTGAGCTCTGGCCGATCGACTCATCTGCTGCCCTGGTTTTCTCTCTCTTAGGCGTTGCCATGGCGAGGGGTGAGCAAAGCAAGTCATCTGAGTCTGTAGTAATCAATTTGTTGCACGCACCTGACGTCGGTCAGGCGGGATAGTGTCGATTTCGTTCGAAGTTGGCCGCCTCATCTCCTCAAGCAGGAGAGTCAGATTCGTGTTCAACCAGCCACAGGTACACGAGAGACACATTTCCCAACACCGACACACCTGCATTCTTTCCTGTGTTCGTCTCATCCATCTATCAGTACAACCGTCGGGTGCCCTCAGCCTCCTCCACTCAGTCGGCCACCCCCATCCCTTCCCCCTCCACCCACCCATACCAGCCGTCCAAAGACTTCCAGCTCCCGTCAATCAGACAAGTCAAAAACGACTTCTATGGCCAAACACAGACGCGCTCACGCACAGCAACCGGCACACAGCGATCCAACAGACATCAGCACCAGCAGCACCAGCAGCACCAGCAGGCAGAGGAGGTCCCTGCTGCTGCTGCTGCTGCCTGTGAGCAGCCGACTGGCGACACGTGTCAGCGGCCTCAGATGAGCGCTGAGGGCCGGTGGTCGTTTGAGCGTTCGAAGGATGGGGCGGAGATACTCACGCGCCTTCCTGGATCGGGAGATGGAGAGGGAGGTGACAACAGAGATAGAGACATGCCGTCTGGGTGCGTCCCCCCACCAGCAGCTCAGCAGCAGCCGATGCGCGAAGAACCCACACCGTCTGTCAAGGAGCCACCCATTCCCGTGCCCGTGGGACGTCAGTCCTTCCAGTCGTAAGCAGCATCCATCCATCCATCCATCAGCACAGCAGATGAACACTTTTCTCGCCTGTGTCTGCATACCAGGGGTGGTGCGTCGCCGCCTAAGGGAGTGGTGTCTGCGATGGAAGGCGCCCTCGACCGAGCCGTCACTCAGGCAAGTGGATGGTGGATGAGACACACCCAATACGTGGATGCATTGTGCGGGCATACGCGTGCATGTGTGCACGTGTGGGCGTCGATCGGATCATCAGCTGGAGGTGGAGGCGGCTCAGGCGCTGCGTGAGCGGGAAATCCACGAGGAGCGGCTGCAGCATGCACACGAGGAGGAAAAGAGGGCTCAGATGGACAAGAGACGCAGACAGGCACTGGTCAGTCCAGTCGTGAGGGGTGTCTGTGGCTATTCATGTCTTTGTGTGTCGAGTGCAGCATCGCGAGTATTTGGAGGGCCAGATCAAATGGGACAGAGAGCGGGCCAAGAGGGACAAAGATGAGTATATACAGGGTATGTGAACTGACCGCTCACACACCCACACGCGAGACATTCATTGCGGAGACACGTGGACCCCTGTTTGCGAATTCGATGCAGCTGCGTCGTGTCACGAATTCCCCAAGTGGTCTGAGCCGCCGCCAGACGAAATGAGGGACATCATCAGGCGAAAGAAATTGGAAGTCAAAAAGGAACTGGACAACCAGGTCACTCAGTCATTCACCCACCCACCCACCCACACGCCCATCCAACCATCCACACAGTCAGGAAGTGCTGTCTCTTTCTCTCACTTGCCTGTCTACAGGTGGCGGTGAACCGTCAGCTGCGTGAGTCCGATCGGACGAAGGAGCAGCTCTTTGAGAAAGAGCTCCTGGCCACCACACATGTAGGCACACACAGAGGGAGGGAAAGAGGGAGGGGGGAGAGAGACATAGACACATGTTGGCATTTGTAGGAGGAGTTGGCATCGTTGTCTCGCAACGAGCAGCTGTGGAAGGCCTATGAGAGAGAGGCGCTCAACCAAGCATGGTAAAAAAGGCACGGCCAGCCAGTCAGCCATAAACGGAGCCATGGACAGAGAGGTGGCCTTGCGCTGACCCTCTTTCACATTCACACAGGGATCGTGAGGTGCGCATGAAGCGGATCATGAAGCAGGTGGCGCGGCACCCCTCTCACCCAGCCCTGCTCTCACTCGCAAAACCTGCCCTCTCACCATCACCCGAACCTCAATGCACCAACAACCATCCCAACAACACCGCGGCTCTCCGTGGCGACCTGTGCAGTCGTCAGAGAAGGCGTACACCAGTCATGGGGGCCAGTATGTCCTTACAGTGCATGCGGGATAGAGAGGAAAAGGCAAGGGAAGACGCGCAGCGGGGACGGTGACTGAATTGATTGACTGACCCTTGACTCGTCCACGTGTGACTCCATCTGGGCATTTGTGTGCGTGTGTGTGTGTGCTCATTTTTCTCGAAATATCGCATTCAGCCACACCTTGCACGGTTCATTTCACATTGTCTCAAGGTATTTACATGCACCAGGTCAGAACCGTCCCTTCTTGGCCGCCCCTAGGCCGCCCCCTCTCCCTCCCCCTCCCCCTCCCCCGCCTCTTCTGCTATCATTCCCACCAGCAGTGCCATCCTGCTTGCGCTTGAACGGATTTGGACGGCCATCTGCGGGCTGCTGCTGCTCGCCCCTACCAGCAGCGCCACTACTGGCCTGCACACATACACACACACAGAGACATGACTGCCCCCTCTGTGTATGTGCAAGGGGGGTCGTTACTTGTGAGTTGATCTCGGATTTGAATGTGCCCCCTCCGGCACCACCACCACCACCAGGAGCAGCAGCGGCCGCTGCTGTTTCCTGTGGCGGTGATATGAGTGGTGTTGGCTGCTGCTGTGTGATTGAGGAGGCGATCTTGGCGATCTGCTCCTCCCGCGCCTCGTTGTACTTGCGGATCTCGCGGGCCAGCTGGGACGCACTGTACACACACAGACACGCACTCATTCACATGTGGGCGAGAAGGTGCATATGTGTATGTATGTATGTATGGATCCATCCATCCATCCGCTCGGTGCTCGCCTGGGCGTGCTGAGGGCGTATTTGGTTGCGGGTGCGATGGCCTGGCCAGCGGGGTCCATCCTCTTGTACACGGCTAAGGCACGCTCCAGCTGCATTCATGGAGAGACCATGTGTTAACACGGGGTGCGTGTGTGTCGGGCTTCATGCAACGCACCTGTTGTGTGTCGACGCACGCCTTGAAGAGCCTGACCTCCTGGGCAGCCCTCACTCGGGCCATCGACATCAGCCGACCCAAACTCTGATACAGCCCTCCATCCATCCACCCACAACCATACCATGCCATCCGTGCAGGCGTACGTACCTGCTGTGCGTTGATCTCTGCGTTGAGGCGTCGCTCCACGAGGGGTGTGGCGAAGGTGACAGCGAGGGACTCCTTGCCCTTCTCGACGGCGGCACACGCACCGGAGAGGTCGCACACGAACGACGGGATGCTGAAGTTGCTACCTGCGGGAATGTGTAGGCACAGAAAGAAGGAGAATCGGTCAACTTGGAGCTTTGGCGGGCGGAGCGTACCGTATGCCAGCAGTGACTGCATGAGTGACGTTCGGTATCGGAGCTCCTCTGTGTCACCCAGCGACATGTCCTTCGCTTGACGCTGCTTCAGACACACACCAGCCAAGTACGACACACATGTGCGCCGCTTGTGGATGTGTGTGAATCGGTATGTCTGGACCTGCACGCCGCCGGGTCTCTGTTTGGTCATGCCGCAGAAGGGCATGGCGAGTTTGCGTGGCACGGTGGCGTTGCCTGGGAGGGGGTGCCGGGGGTATGGGCGGGCCACGCCCCTCGGCGGGTGGACAGCAAACACCTGACATCCATACACATCGATGAATGCGGATGATGCAATGCATGTGGGCGGGTTGAGCAGTGCTCACTTCGTCTCCCGTTGCCTGCACGGGCCACCACTGGCAGGGGTCATCCTCCTTGATGGTCATCCCCTGACCTGAACACACACACACCCAGCCGGCATTTCATTCTCTCTCTCTTCCCCTCTCGGCCTCTGTGTGTGTATACCCTCGGCGCGGTAGTCGAGTACCGGCGCCCAGCTGAAGTCCATTCTGCCACCAGGGGCGGACCAACACGGCAGCAACGCCCGCACGATGCCTACACGCCACACGCAGCACACACACGCACACGCACACGTGAGTATCGAAGATATGTGGGAAGGGGGGGAGGGGGCATTACCTAGTGTGTCCATGGTAAGAGGCACGGCGGTCTCACTGAATGCGATCCATGACAGCTGGCTGCCGGGGGAGAGAGACACCGGACCTGTGGGTGGTGTGGGTGAATAGCGAGCACACAGATGATGTGTTCGTGTGGGAGTGCGTATTCGTACCTTTCGACACGATGTGAGAGCTCTTGATGTCGTACAGAGTGAATGCGAGACACTGCACACACGACCAGGCAGGCCACACCAGCTGGTGTGTGTTCACGTGGATGCATGGATCACAACACGCACCTGTTCGTTTGTCCGCGTGTATGCGCTCCCCTGTGCGTGCGTGACGACCATGAGCAGCGAGTCGAACGCCGCCGACGACACGCAGGGCCCGTCCAGACACGTCACGCTCAGCTGCACGCCGCTCGCATCAAACAGGCGCAGGTACCTGTCACACACACATCCACCAGCACACAAATGGCCGTGTGTGCAGGGGGCTCGCTCAGCTGGATTACCTCATGTTTGTCATGGCGGCGACGAACTCGCCACCTACGGCCACGTTGTCTATCTGTTCGTCGTTGCTGAGGGCGTATGTCCAGTTCTGACGGAAGTGGGTGTCGGACTGCCACGTCTGATATGGGCTGCCACACACACACAAACGCAGACACACACGGCCGTGTGTGTGGCGGTGGGATGCGTGTTGGACGGGCTGTGCTTACTAGAACTCTATTTTGGCTCTGTTGGCGTCGGGCTCGCCGAAGGGGTCCACCACCCCAACCTTGGCAAACACCGCACCACGCTCACCTGCATACATATCACGGACACGGGCCACTTCAGAGGCATGCACACGGGTGTGGACTCTTTCTCTCTCTCTCTCTCTGCGTGTGTGTGTTTGTGTACTGATGGATGCGAGGGAGTACTCTCTGTCTGGGTCGTGTTTGATCTTGGTCTTGGCCTCGCCACCCATGAACTGCACACATCCACACACACACGCATCCACGGATTATTACCACCACACACATCACACACGTGTTGCCCCATGCTCACCGTGAATCTCATTTCGATGATGTGTCCGTCGTCATGGGCATCGCCGCCTCCCTCACGCAACACAATCCACCCAAAGGAATTCCAACAGAGAAAACGACTGAGAGAGGGGTGGGGAGAGACATGTGGGGATGCCTCAACTGCACCAGTGTGTGGATGCACCTTCTGCGTCTGTCGCCATCGACGGCCATCTGGTCGGCGTCCGCGTCGTCCTTCAGACCGCCTGCACACACACACACACACACACACAGAGTGAGAGAGACATTTGTGAGCGCATGTGCGCCCGCTCGCTCACTCAGGTCGTCTTCGAACAACGTTGAGCACGGCATGAAGGCCTCCTGCGGGGCACCCGTCTCCCTGACAAGCTCAGCCCATCCATCCATCCAACGAACCCTTTTGGTGCACCTTTCCCCCAGACACCTACCACATGGCGTCCATGGCGATCTTTTTGACTTTGTCCTCATCTACAGCCATCGTCGACGACGCCCCCAGCCCGCCGCCGGCCATGGTGTCGTCCATCGGGGGCGGGTCGGCCATGTCGAGGTCGTCGAAGTCCAAATCGACGGGCGGGCCGTCTGGCTCTTCGTCGCCCGCTTCGTTGGCTTCATCGTCGATCAGTTTCCCAACACTGCACCGAACGCATGGCATCAGCACACAAATGAGAGAGACGGGAGGGATGTGTGGGTGGGGAGACTGGAGGACGTTACCTGCGGTCTTTCTCCTTGGCGCCGGTGCGTCCGTCCAGACCGCCGGCCTGCTTGCGGCCACCGTCCTCACGACCCTCACTATCCTGCCCACACACACACACACGCACACATACACACACGAGTATGCGGCCAGAATGGTTTGCGTGCGTTGTGTGGTGATTCGTGCGTGTTTGCCTGTGGTGGTTTGCCCTCGTAGAGGAGGGACTTGGAAAAACACGGCAGCGCCCACGTACCTGCAGACATTTTGTTTCCGTATGCGGTGGGTGTTGGCGGGGACCATGAATGTGTGCGCGAACCGTCTCGTCTGAGCAGGCCGATCCTGAGCGCCTTGCGCTCCTGCAGCAACTCGTCACCGCCCTGAGCGATGTGACCCATAGACATCCACCTGCACTTGTTACTGATTTGTAGGTCTTTCTCAGTCTCTCTACCGACAGACCGCATCTGTGAAGGCTTCGGCACACGACATACTAATCAAATGGAATCCGCCAGACACGCCAACTGAACGCCCACATGCAGACAGACAGACAAACAGATAGACAGACAGAGATACCCTGGCTATAGGCGTGTGTCTATGACTGTCTGTGACACGGACCTGGGAATGTGTGTATGGGGTATATGTTGTTCTCGGCTTCGCACCGCCATATCATGACAGAGTGGTCCGCCCCGCCGGACACCAAAATGGACCCTTCGGCGTCCCAGCACAGGAAATGCACCGCCTGTGCAACACACCACACCGCAGCCGTGTGTACACATTCCCATGTGTGTCGTGCTGTTGTGCAGGCGTACGTCTGTGTGCTTGGTGTGTTTTTGGAGGTCTTCGCTGATGAGCCACGAGTCGCGGGTCACCGGACGGGGGTACCGCTCGCCTGCCACACAGATAATGCGCCCGTCCGTGTGTGTGTACACATTGCGTAGGAGATACCTGACACAACCAGGAAATCCGCCTTCGGGTGCCTGCACACACACCACACCCGGCAATGCATGTGTGTGTTGTGTGTGTTGTGTGTGTTGTGTGTGTTGTGTGCGTGTGTGACGTGTGGTGACCATGCCATCAGGAGTCGGTTGGTGCAAGTGACCGCTGTCTTGTGGAAGTAGTCCTTGCCCGAGAAATCCTCCGCACCCGTAGCCTGCACGCCACACCATACACTCACGCCCATATCCACAGGAATGTGGCCCTCGTCCACCCAACCCACACACGTACGTCCTCCGCGAAGTTTCTGATCTCATAGATGACCATCGGCCCGTCGGCGGATGCTACAGCTAAGAACTCGCCACGTGGGTCAACCGCCAAACTACACGCACCCTCCACCGGCCTACACATACATCCACACACACATACGCGCACCCACGCGGGCGAGTATTGTCTCCCACCCACGCACCCGCATTCGAATCTTTTCTTGGTGTTGACGTCGAATAGAATGACGGTGCCGAGGTCCACGCAGCAGCCGACCTTGAGGCCCCTCACGCCATCCTCACCCTCCTGCAGGTCGCAAAACGACACATAGCGGATCTCGCCAGCCGTCCTGTCACACGAAACGCAATACAAGACAACACAAGACAGCACAGCACAACACAACACATCCACCCATCCAGGCCATCCACCCACCACCCACCACCCACCTGCAGACGAGGCTCTCGGCCTTGTACACGCCGTCAGAGTATCGGTGCACCCACACCTCGCCCTTCCCATCACCCACACACACCAGCGGGTGTGACGAGCCGCCGTCGCCATCGTCACCGCCACCACCGCCACCATTGCCGGCGAACACTGCGATGGCTTTGATGCCCTTCTGGGCCGCCGCTTGTGCGGTGAAGATGGGCTGCTCGGCGAGGGATGAAGGCGGGCCCGGTGTGATGGGCGTGAGGGTGCCCGCAGCGAAGTCGCTCAGGTACAGCGAACTGACCGACAGAGAGAGAGAAATGAAGGGAAGGCATAGATCTCTCCATCCCGTGTGCGACGCACCTGTTGGTGAGTATGATCTCTCCGCCCTTGTCGAGCAGCTCACCGGTGGGCGAGCTGTGCCACTGCACATCCGTGGCAGAATCGCCACCACCCTCTGCCGCCATCTCCTGGCGCAAATTTACGCCGGAGGTGCGAGCTTAGATGCGAGGCGTGGCAACGAAAAGTGCTGCATGTGGAGTAGTTTGGACAAGTCTTGTGTAATTACGAGTGAAACCGAGATCTGGGGCAAAAGGGCAAGGGGATTTTGGCAAGTGTCCGTTGCGAGAGGCCTCAGTTGCGCGCCGCGCGTGTCCGTTGGGGCGGGTTGGATCGCATCGCTTCCCACGCCCCTTCTGGCCTTATCGCATTGAGTTTTCGTCCGTACAATCGCACCTTGCCTGTCCTGCATCTTCCCTACTCCCTGCCTGTCTGTCTGTGTCAAGCATCAAGCATGACCGCCTCCCTGTCTGCCGTCATCCTTGTGGCCATCGGCCTTTTGTCGTGCAGTGCCGCAGGTACGAACACCCACACAGACGATGCAGCACCCGCGCATTGCGATGCATGCACACAGCGTAACAGAGGGCTCACATGCGCGTGGGCGGGGGGAGATCTGGGCGTGACGGCCATCGTGTGTGTCGTGTGTGTTGTGGTGGTGTTCTGTCAGATGTGTCGCTGCGTCGCATGCAGTCAGAGCTGGGCATCTCGCCGCCTGCAACAGCTGAGGCTGCCCCGGCAGAGCAGGCTCCTGCCGACGAGACAGTGATGGACCCTGCGGCCGAGGCAGCCCTCAACGGCACCATCCCCGAGGGCCAAAACATGACTGAGGTGGAGGAAATGGAGCTGCCGCCCGTGGAAGACCCCTCAGGCACCGATGGCACGCGACGAAGTGAGTGGGACAAGAGGCGGGGAGGGGAGGGGTGGATTCTCAGTCTCACATGGCGACCTGCATGTATGCTTGCTTGCTGCGTGTGCTGTCTTGTCTCGTGTGTGATGCGTCAGGGTCTCTCCTCCGCTCGTTGCTGAGTGAGCCACAACACACCACGTCCAACAACACACAGACAGAGCTTTCCTTCTTACAGAGCTTTCCTTCTTTTCGTCTTTCCCTTTCATCAGACGCCGAGGGCACCACGACCGAGGCAACTATCGGCGAGGAGGCGTCCGAACAAGGCATGGATGTCTCCCCCGGGGCGAGCGAGGCGGGCCCCGGCGTGTCGCTTGAGCAGGCTGTCCCTGAGGCCACCACTGCTCCGCCAGCAGAAGCGGAGACCGCCGAGACCGGGTCGGCCGTCTTGCCACCCCCCGTGGAGGGATCCGAGAGGCGGCGCATGCAGGGTGAGCCAACCGAACAACTGGGGAATGGGGGGGCAGTTCCTGCATGGATAGCCATCGGTGTCTTTTCTTCATTCTCTCTTTGTGGTATTCAGTTGACGGCACACCGGCGGCTGCCCCGGCCGAGGCTGCTCCCGCCCCGGTCGCCGCGGACCCTGCTGCTGTCCCAGTGGCCACGGACCCCGCGGCAGCTCCCGCTGCCCCGGCCGTTGAGGGAGTGCCCGTCATCCCGGGATTCAATGAACTCGCCACCACCGCACCTCCTGCTGAAGGTCAGACATTTGTGATCGAAGGCCACACAGCCAGCCAGCCAGCCATCATACCATCCCGCGCCCGTTCATCTGTCTGCCTGTGTGTATATGATGGTCTGATCATTGATCAGAGGCCGCGGCGCCATCCACGACTGGTCAGGACCCCGCGACGGGCGCGCTGGTCGACCCGCGTGAGGCTGAGGACTTCGAGTCGCCTGTCGGCAATACGGACGTCTTCGGCGGTGGGGCTGAGGGCGGAGGGGCAGTCGTTGGCGGCGGCAGGCGCTAGATGCTCGCTCCATCGACTGACTGATAGATGGTTTTGGCGGTTTTGTTGGTTGGTTGCTCGCGGGTTTCATTGGGTGGGGGTTGACATGGTGCCTCAGTGGAGGGCTGTGTCGTTTGTTTCTGCCCGCCTGCCTGCCTGCGTGTGTCTTCCTGGGTGCCCCCATGTGGTCTGCGTGTGCGTGGGAATGCGTCCATCCATTCAACAGCGACGAGGGGGGTTGTTTTACAGGGGCTCTAAGACGGTGCCAGCCGTCGCATATGATGCATTGACTGCATATATATTTCGTTTTTGCGTCTCTCTCACAACCACACACACACTGTTTGTGTGCGCTCACTGATTGATTGATTCGTTGGACGCCATGTGTGCGGGGGCGGGGGGAAGCAGTGAGTGAACAGCATGATATGGTATGCCTGTTTGGCTTTTTTCGTCCATCCATCCATCCATCCATCCACAACACATTGACGCACGCTTTTTGCCTGCCTGCCTGCATTCACTGACTGCCACAGTGTGGCGTTTTCGCCCAGACAGCTGACATACAGACAGGACAGAGGCAATTTTGTAATTCATTGGTGGGGTGTTGGTTCCTCTCGCCATCTCTCTCGACCGGATTTATGTACATGTACACTGCCTTCACGACACGACGGGTGTGTTTCCTTGTCGTTTCGTTTTTTCCCGCCCCGCCCCCCTCACAATGACAATGACCCTTCTCTCTCTCTCTCCTCTCGCTCTCTCTCGCTCTCTTTCGCTCTTCATCTCTACCTCAGTTAGCTAAACACGCTCTCATTTCAGCCACCCTGCACGCCAGGTACACGTGTGTGTGGGTGCTGGGTGGCGCTGCCAAGGTGTGAGTGTGTGTGGTGGCCAGCATATCTAAACATCCATGGGATGGCATGCTCGATGGAGTAGAGGACATGATGTGCGGTGGGGTGTTCTTGCCAACCATGGCTGCGCTTTGAGATCTTTCTCCCCTGCCTGTCTGAAGTGTAGCCACAGTTGCCCCGACGACTGTACCACAGGCGCTCACGTGTGCCTGTGGCGTTGTTGCCGGTGCCGCTGCAACTACGCTTCGGCTGCCAGGGGGAAGGTTTGTGCGCTTGGTGTGTGAAATCGTTTTTTGCGCATGCGGATGCATACGAGACGGACCTGATGGAGTGGTGGGTGCTGACTGCTCGTGTAAGAGTACCTGCCCGCTGCCTGGGGGACGATGGTGGATGCGTGCGTGCATGACGGATATGTGTGCGCGTCGGGTGCGTCGAAGCGTGGCTTTTGGTGCCATCCACCTTGGGAACCGGATGTGGGGGCCGTGGCACTTGATGCGGCCATGGCCACTACGTCTGGAGTCTGTGGATGATGGACCCCTGACACGTGTCGTGCACTGATGGCTGGGAATGGCTGTAGTGGACGTTCATACGGAATTGCATGACTCAATGCCGTGACACAGTGTGCAGAATCAGATGCGCAGCTGACGAGATTCCCGATACAAATTGACAGCTTCATGTCGACAGTCTCGGTTGACAGTGTTTGCCCGCACGTGATGCAATCACCCACCTCACGTCATCAACACAGCACCAGGCGGCGTGAGAGCCAGAGACACATGAATGACATGAATCACACCGATAGGCATCCCTTCCTACCAGTAACGACACGGCATGTACAGAGCAGAGCAGGACCCTCACGTAAACGGACACGAATGCGCACACCACATGCAGCACATCCAACTCATCGGCTGAGAAGAATGTCTTGCCAGCAAAGCAAGCCTCGGTACAGGGCCACAATCCATTCACAGCGATCACAATCCATTCAACGCGGGCGATTGAATCCGTAACACACGCACACACACCGCCCACACGTGCACACACAAGAGACACAGGATCCGACAACCCACGACCCACAACCCATCCCATCGCTGCCTCTGATTGAGTAGTGCGCATGGGCTTGTTTAAGCACCAAGTGCATGACATACACAGCAGAGAAATCACATCCATCGTGGAGCCAGAGGCAACAATCAATCAAGACGATGCTCCAGTGATGGCATCCATCCATCAGTCACGGGAGGGACACGAGTACAGGAAGGAAAAATCACGTGACTGGCAGACTGACTGGCATAAATACAGCCAGCGTCCTGTCGTACCCACACCTCACACAGGCCCCTCCTTAATTTCCCCTCCCCACTTCCACATCCATGCATCCATCACTGCATCCAGCCTCAGTGGGCCATTCGGTGCTCATGGTGCGCGGCGTCATGCTCGGCTTCCCACCCGGGCCAGTCTTGGCTCGCAGCCGCTGCACCATGATGGTATGGAGCGTGGCGAGTCCCTTGATGACTATTGTGGTGGATGTGGCCATGATGGAAATCACCATCGTCACTGTGTCGGTCGACCGAGCCCCATACAAGATGGTCAGAACCAGGATGGGCACCTCGAACAGGGACGCCGCGAACATGTACACGTGCTGCCGCAGCGTCGCCCTGGTGCGGATGCCGTAAGAAATGGCTGCGCTCATGGTGTCCACTTGGCGGAGAATCAGAATGGTGACTCCGGGCCAGAGGGCATTACCATGCGACACCATGCCCATCCCAACGGCTGCATACATGAGCAACAAACAGCAGCACCAACAAAACAGTAGGTGAGTAAGCGACTACATGCTCCCACACAACCACCCACCCACTTATCGCACCTAGATCGGACAAGTAGTCCAAGGCTGTCCCCAGGTAGGCCACGTACTTGAGCAGTCGGCAGAAGTCCAACTCGTCGATCGACCTCGTGCAGGGCACATACTTGCGCACCAGAGAGAATACCCCGTTCTGATCCGCCCACGTGTGCTCAGAAGCCGACAGCAGGCGTGTGGGAGGGACAGACACCAGGCTGTATGTGGCCGGCAGCGTGAAGAGCCCGGGCACAGGGAAGCCGCTCATCCTCTTGACCATCTCCTCGTCTCCAAAGAGCCGCGGCTGCGCAATTAGAGCAAACCAGGCAGCGCAGAGGGCAGTTTCCGCACTCACAAGCAGTAGAGTTGCCGAATATCCGAACGCTACACCCACATACACACATACATACACACATACATACATACATGGAGGGAGAGACCGATTCTTAGCCGGCTCATTCATTGGACCTACGTGCGTATAGCAGGGTGACCCCCAATATAAGGATGCCATAAGTGCACACCGCCCCCTGCACAGCGATGTTCAGGTACGTTCCGTAGATGAACAGAGGGTTCACAAGAGCCTGTAGAATGTGACCGACTGCAAAACGCGCAAACAAATAAACAAACACCAACCAAGCAGAGAAGGAATGAGTGGAGGGCAACCCAGTGCTTCTCGCACGTGGACATGTGCTCGTTCCGCTCACCAATGCCACTTAAGATGAGATAGCGAGCCCATTTGACGTCGGGCAGTAGGACAAAACAGCTCACGCGGAGGCAGACCATCCACATACCCGCACAGTCTGCATCAATACACCAAGACCAGCACACATGTGTAAGTAGGACAGGAGCTTCCCCACGCACTTACAAAGTATCCTCCACCAGAAGAACAGCTTCTCCGGCGTGTCGGGAAGGTAGAACCTCAGTCGATAGCGCTCCGGCATCCCCCACACGCCTAGATCCATCGCCAGGTACTTTCCAGGAGAACCGCCCGTGGCCTCCTTCGCACCGCCATGACCACAGGAAGACAGAGAGGGGCTGGAATCTTGGTGTCGGTCACTGCGGCTGGCGGCGGGAATCTCGCCGACAGCGTCCGAGGGGAGCAAGCACTCGGTACTCCTTCTGGCTGTTGCTGCTGCAGGAGAGGCCAAGTCGAGCAAATCAACCACAGATCTCGACGGCACGGCTATCCACTGTGCGAGAACGGCATCGATATCGCCGAAGGAGCGGGAGGGTGCTGGAGGTTGCCGAAAGGGCGTGAAACTGGCCTGATCTGGAGGCCTCATCTGGAGATGGATGAGATCGGGAGATCGATAGCACCTGCCCCTCAGGGCCGGGACTTCCGGTCCGTCACACAAGGAGAAGGACGGTAGGCCGTGAGACGCTTTAGGGCACCTCTCTTCCTGAAAACCATTCACTTTCCTGCGAGCTCAGACGGGGAGAGAGAGGGAGAGTTTCCCCCCTTTGTGTTCCTGTGCCACGTTTGGCAATCGGGATCCAGTGCTCTCATTGTCGCACCCGGTGAGATCTATCAGCCGACGAGAGGCAATCTGTCAGTTTCCTCGTCCCTCTCACCTCATCTCTCGTCTGTCCGCCTCGTCCTCCCTCTGACCAACAAGGCTCTCTGTCCCCTTCTCTCTCTGCTCCCATTCACGTGATGGCTGCTTGGCGGAGTGCTGTTATCATGATGATTCTGTGTGTGGTGGGGATTTGTGTTGGCACAGAGGCAACACCCGCACAACAGGTATGTTACACACACACACCGTGACCTATTCACCCACTCATCTAATGCTCTGGTGTCCATGGCTGTCTTTGATGTGTTCAGGTACCTTTGCGCGGCCTGCAGGTGTCCCCTCCTGCCAACACGTCGCTGTCTGCGTCAGAGTATGAGGCGCTGGTCGGCCTGCTGGGGGGCAATGACACCACACCACTCACCTCACTCTACCGGTAGACACACATCATGCCAACAGGGATGATGTGACAGCCAATGGGCACATTCCGTCTATGTGTCTGTGTGTGTGTGTGTGTGTAGGACGTCTGTACACGGCACTGCCTATGGCGACCTGCTGGACAATGTGGGCGACGCAAAGCCTCTCGTCTTTGTGATCAAGAAGGACCAGTATGTGTTCGGCGCCTTCATCAGTGCCGGCATAAAGGAGCCCGACGACCCGACTGGCAGCAACTTCTACGACAGTGATGTGTGGTGGTTCTCACTGGCCGGCCACTTCCCCCAACCGACCAAGATCGAGATACCAGAATATAGGCAGTGGGTGGAGGTGGCGGGGAGGAAGGGGAATGTGGAGGGTGGGAATGTGTACATCGGTGGGCTTCTGTCGTTGGGTGACAGCGGCACTGTCGATGGCCCGCCTGCTGCCGACATCCGCAGCTGCTATCAGTGGACCGACAGTGAGGATGTGCCTGAGGACTACACGGGAGAGAGGGATGGTGATGGCGATGCTGTGTTGGGCGGGTCGCAGGAGTTCATAGCTGACGAGATAGAAGTGCTGAGTGTGGTGCAGTAGTCAGGGACGCTGGGAGGGAGATGTGCTTTTCCCTCTGTGCTGCACTGATATAGCCTTCCATTTATTTGTGCCGTCCTCTCTGCGCCCTCGTCTGTCTGTCTGCCTGTCTGTCTGTGTGCTTCCTTGCCTCCACGCCTGAGTGCAGCTAATCTGCCGGCACAATGCTGGTGCCCCTGTGTGTGTATGTGTGTGTGTTTCTTCGTCAAAGTTAGTGTGTGTGCGGTGGCTGGACTGACTGTAATGAGTACGCGACTGTGACTCGCTGCGTGTGTATGTCATCATCCTGCCCTGATGTGTTTGTCGAATGAGTGTGAGTGTGGGTGTGGGTGTGTGTGTTGAGTGAATGACAGCCGGCCGGCAAGACAGCTGCATGCCTCACATGGACTCATGGTGCGGATGCCCCATGAGTGATTTAATGAATGGGTCAATGACACAGTCGGCCTATTGGTTGAGTGCATTCTGTCGCTTCACATGCAAAGGAATCCGCCCAGAACAGCCCATTTCATCCGGGTTCTGGGTTTGATAGAAACCCCAAACTTTCAGTCGACGTGGCCGGCACGCCATTCAAAGTCGACGTTGGGCGCGTGGAAACTTATCCAGGCCTTCGCGTGAAGGGTGGGTGGCTTGGCTTCACAGACATAAGAGGTCGGTCCATCTCTCGTCTATCAACGCAGACAGCAGAGAAGGTTATGATGAATGAATGTATGTACGTGCCGGCAGACGCGGCAGACGACACACGCACATGATGCCGGCATAGAGAAAGATAAATACGCCACGCACTGCACCCTTTCCTCCCATACAAACCCCCCCCGTTAACCAGCCAGGTAGAGAGGCACACCACCCACCACACAAATATGAAGCCACACGCAGCAGGCAGGCAAGAAGGCAGGCGGGCTGCCCCACTCGCTGCCTTTCTCCTTCCAGATTATCCAGATTATCAAAATCTAGCGATGTACGCCACATACAACACCCCCGGCATGCCGCCTCCCCTGTGGGCAAGGAAAGGGGACACGTGAAATGGACGGACGAGAAAGGCATAGGAACAGGATTGCGTATGTATATATGAGTATTCATCGTTATGTGTGTATGTGTATAGAGCGACGACATAACGACAGACAGACACGCACAAACCAAGGCAGACAGACAGACACACGGACGACGGAAGGCAGCACGTTCGGATGACGCTCACGCACACACACAGAGAATCAATCGCGACACTCATTCCTCACACACATACATGGCATGGACACATGGACACATGAAGGGTCGGTAGGTCGGTTGGTACGTAAATAAGCATCCATTCATCAAGTAGGGGTAGTCACACACGGGTGCGTCAGGCAGGGAGGCAGGGAGAGAGAGGGGGGGGAATGAGTCAATTAGGGGACGGGACAGGCAGACAGAGAAGGAGGCACTCATGCACACACATCCACAGAGGGAGGAGGACGGTAAACACGGAGATACTTCCTTCTTGACCACGCCAGTCAGTCGCGCACTCACACAACAGACGTCGCGATTGGTCAGCTGTCGGTCGATTCTCGTTTTGGTCGGGAACATAGAAAATTGCACACGCATGCATTTCATGCATCACACACCACACCGCGCACACCACACCACACACACAACACACACACACACACCACACACACACCACTCAGGCAGAGGAAGCAGAGGAAGGACACAACTGGAGTATGGCTGTATGTAAGTGTACAATGAGGCAAGTAGGTAGGTAAGTGGATAGGTAGGGAAGTGTGTATGTCCGTACGTCTTACTAATGAATGAATGAATGAATGGATGAATGAATGAATGGCTGGATCCAGGCACACACATCGGCACACATACGCACACACGCATCACGGAGCAGCAGAGAGAGAGAAAAAAGCAGGAGGGAGGGAGGGAGGGAGGGATGGGGAGAGATTGCGTGGGGGAGAGGGACGTGGGGACACAGAGATGGGACGCGCAGACGGGAGGCGGGGGTCTCTCGCGAACACTACGGTTGCTCCCTCGCTCCCTCGCTCGAGGGATTAAAAATGAGACGTACAATGAGACGTACGTTAAGCACCAGCAGGGAGAGCCATCCGGCCCACCCGTTGCAAACAACACTGCAGGCAGGCGGCCATACGCTCTGTCTGTCTGTCTGCATGTGTATACCAACCAGTGAGTGTTGCGAGTACGCTCCCTCTCCTTCCTCTTGCCAGCAGGTAGGTAGGTAGGTAGGTTGCTGGTTGCATCTGCCGCACAGCAAAGTGTGTGTGGTCCGTGCAGTGCACCCACCCACCCACCCGCCCATCCATTCATTCATTCATTAGCCAGTCAGATGGACCCTCTAATCGGTCCGCCTTCTTCTCTCTCTCTCTCTCTCTCTGGTTAAACAACCATGAGTGAGTGGACGCATGGGTGAGTGGCGAGCACTCGTGAGCGACGATTATTCTACTGTCTGTCTGTCTGTCTGGGTCGCTCACGAGCGCTCTGGAAAAAAGGCCTTAAGCGGGGTGCGCAAGCGTCTCTCTCAGCGCCCGTGTAATGGAACGCAATGCAATGGAATGCAATGTAGTGCAACGAGTGCAATGGAATGGCTGTAGACTCTCCTCTTAAACAGAGGACGCCCCCGCACCCACCCGCACACACACAAAGTCACACCGACATCCGGAGACTCGGGCACCTTACAGAAGAGAGGTTCGCGGAGACACACGGCCGCATACACATCCATCCATCCATCCATTCGCACAGCTGGTGGGGACTGATCGAACTAGCAGGGAGCCAGTCGACTCGGACACCCACCCACACAGGCGCACACACAGCCGCACACACATCCCCCCACAGAGCTAGTTACGTCCACACACTAAGCAGGCAACGAAGCTAGTGGCTTACTTAGTTTTCAGGACGGTCACCACTTACTTCTATGCGTGTCAGCAGCAGCCCGCACATATGCCCGTATGCATGTATGACTGACTGACGAGCAGACGATCGCCTATATATCCGTATAAGCCTAGAGCCGAGAAAGCCACTCACAAGCAGTGATAGCAAGCAAGATAGCAAGATAGCAAGATAGCAAGGCACAGAGAGGATGACAACCGGCCACACGTTAATCCAAGCCATACAGAGAGAGAACGGCCAAGCCACATCCACACAAACAATGGGAAAGAGACGACGGGCAGCCAGGCAGGGAGAGAGAGACTAGCCAAGCCAAACCAAGCAAGCCAGCCATGCCTAGAGGTCGTAGCCCTGCATACACAACCACACACCTGTCTTTCTGTCTGTCCTTCCATCTCTGTCTGTCTGTCTGGAAAGCGATACGCGTCTGCTCGATTAAGCAGGGAGGGATACACACACTCAATCACTCACTCATCCACACGCATGAAAACGTAGCTACTGCTCTCACTGGTATGTAAACCACTGCATACACAATAAGGGGATGGATCGTGCAATAACGGGGCGTCACGGCGAGGGCAACTGGGCTGACGGGGTGGACACAGAGAGGGAGGGAGGGAGGGAGGAAAAACAAAACCTTACACCCACCCAACACCGCACACAGTGACACAGACCTGTGTGTGTGTTGGTACCTGCCGTACGGACGTGAATTAGTCAGAAAAAGCAGCAGCAGCAGCAGCGACAAGACAGACGGAGCAAGTTGGTATGGAAGAATGAGTGAGTGGATGAATGTCGTACGTATGTACGGATGTACGCAATGAATGTCGTATGTATGTAGAGACCCATGCACATCACATGCACATGCACATGCACACGAACGCACCACACATGAATGAATCGCATACACGCATCAAACATGGTGTGGCTGGCGAGGGATGGCTGGATGGATGGATGGCTGTACGCACAAATATCTAGTTGCCTACCTACAGACAGCAAGTGGGTAGGGAGGAGGAGGCTACGGCGGGGGAGAGGGGGGAACCTACAGCCGTTCCCCCCTCCCTCACTCCTTCTCTCCCTTAATCAATCTACGAGACCGACGAGCGAGCGATTCGGCGAGAGGGCACAGGCGCTATGAATGGTTGGCTGGTTGGACAAAAATGGGATGATGGTCCATCCCTCCCTCCCTGATACGTGACTACCTGTGTGGGTGTGGTGTGCGTGCTACCTGCCTACCTGTCTGTGTCTCTCTGTGTGATGCCTTCTCGCAGCAGCCGCCCCGCTGTCTACGAATGCCCTCATCTCGCCTCGCCCCGTGTCAGTCAGTCAGTTAACCACAGGTTAACCACTTTCAGCCAGACTACCTGTCGCTCGCTACATACAGGCCGCTACAGAGACAGACACGTCAATCAATCAGCACAACTGCTGACTTGAAGACTTTGTGTGTTAGCGAAGACAGACAGACGACATACACCGAGAAGAGAGAATCCCCCCTCTCTCCCAGTTAGTTACTCAGTCACTCTCGCTTCCATATACCAACGCCCACGACACACACACTTACACACACACACACACACGATCGACGAACGACGAATCACTGGCTGCCGTTGGTGAGGACGTGTGGCCACTCGCGCGGCCGCATCATCTGCAGTCTGCTGGCGAGGTATCGACTCCCCACCTGCCACGTCTCCTCCGCACGATGACTGTCGTGGTGGTGCACCTGCAGACCCGTGTGTGAAGCGACGGCACCAGAAGCCTTGGGCGTGTCCGTCGGTGTGTCGCCGCTCTGCACATACAACCACGGACGGACGCATAGACAGTGATCGATCTGGTGGAGAGTCCATATGTGTGTCTGTGTCTGGGGGGATCTGGCAAGAAGAGAATTCTTCGGTCGACGTAGGCAGTGAGGGAGAGGGCGGCACATGGTGTGTGCGGGAGCTGCTGCCGCTGCTGTGGTGCTGCTGGTGCTGCTCGTCGCTGCTGTGGTTGTCGAAGGTGACGATGGCGCATGGGAACCATCCGGCGTGTCCGGCGTGGGCGCCCTTGATGCAGGTGCCGTACATCCAGCCCTTGCTGCCGCGGCTGTCCGTGTGCGTCACCGACACCTGGTCGCCGCAACTCAGCAGCAGCAACGCAGACTGACAACCCTCCTGGTGCGAAAACGGGTGCATATCTGAGCGCACAGCCAAACACACGGACGCATGGCTGCGTGCGACATCTCTCTGTGTGTGCAGCCAGCCGCACTTGCAGTGACGGTGCCGATGGCGGGTCTGGGCAGCTCGCATGGTGTCGGTGGCGCACTGTCTTGAGGCTGTCCTGTGGGCTTGTGGAGGTTGACACGGCGGCGAGAGGGCGGCGACTCCACCGCAGGAAATGGGCTATGGTCACACCAGACACACAGTTGTTTGGTTGTCCATACCATGGCGCCTCACAAGCTTACTCGCCAGCTTTGTTGACGAATACAACATTGGCGCGTTTGACTGTGGGTGGGAGGCCGTTGCCGTCCGGGCCGAAGCCCGCGATTTTGCAGACCTCTGGTGTGCGCTGCTCGGCCAGGCCGTGGACGAACGGGCAGTAGTACTCCTTGCACTCGCTGCTCTGGTTGGCCTCACATACCTCACTGCACACACCCAGGCAAGCAAGTTTGCAACACGCCATCCATATAAAGGCATTCTGAGACTCTCTGAGTGCTCCGCGTCGGTGTGTGGGTACGTTTTGTAGTAAAGTGGGTGGTAGTTGATCTCTTCCCTCGAGTGTGCGTATGGGCAGCTGCCGCCGCGCTTGCAGAAGTTCCTCACCGAATCACCCTCCATCAACTCAACCTGTCACACACACACACGCACACACACACATTCGATTAAGGACGCCTCTCTCTCTCTCTCTGTCTCTGTGTGTGTGTGTGTGTGTATGTCGTTCTCACCGCGCTGCATTTGAGAGGCAGGTATCTGAGACACTTCGGATCGGACGAGTAAAACGGACAGCGTCGAACCTATTGGACACAAACAGACAGACAGACTCACACGTACAAACTGTCCTGCCTGCGATGATGCCCGCCATAGTGTGGCCTGCCTGCCGACCCAGAATGTGTTATGGCTGAATTGGCATCTTCTGTCACCGTAGCCACACCCGTCCCTGGTCTTGTTGCGACGGCATGGCTGCGTGCGGAACCGCTGGAGGTCCGCCTCACTCAGCAGAGACGAACACGCCATAGCTCAGACGGGAAAACCTGATGCGGCCGGCCGTCTTGCTTGTGTCGCAGGCACGCAGGCAGGCAGACAGGTAGGCAGACAGTCAGGCAGTCAGGCAGTCAACAGAGAGGCAGACTGTGGGACACTGGGGTGAGGGGGCAGGGCAGAGTCAGCAGTGTAGATCCAGGCAGCGACCGAAAGGCCCTCAGGTGAGCAGCTGTTCAGCGACCAGATCCATCACTGAAGCAACCAACACACGGCACGCAAGGCGTCTCTCGTCTCCCTTTCTGCTCCGCTCCCGTCCTTGCATCACCTACCTTATGAGTGCCGCAGACTGTCGTCAGTGGCGAAACCGGCTCCGTGTCTGTGACGAGGCTCAAACCCTCGCGGATTGCTCGCTGAGGTGCTCCTTTCCTCCCTCCTCTGCTCTCTTAGCTCGCCACGTTTAGCTCGCACTCGAATGGAAGAAGCTGCTTCATCCTTGCGTACCCCTTCGGGCGGCCGGGGGCAATGTCCCCGTGAGGTTACGAACGAACGAACGAACGAACCCTTCATCGATCTGCATCCCGCTCGGTACAAGAGGGTACACATTCGTACAAATACATGTATACGTACACCTCTCTCGTCGGTGGACAAACTCGTCGGTGGACAAACCGACGAGAGAGGTGGTGAGTGCTTCTCTATAGGGTGGCCGGCTATGGCGACCACGTATGGGTGATGTGAGACACCCATGGCCGGCCACCTCGTGGCCAGTCAGGCCAGGATCACGGCTCTCCCAAGCTGTAGTGATGCAGTGATTCACTTGATGAATGAATTGAATCAATTCATTGCTTGACTGACATGCAGGCACACAGACGTGACGCCCTGTCAGTGAAGTCCCTGTCCTTGTGCTCACGTCGTTTGAGTCTCGCACAAGGACTTCACTGCAAATGCGTCGCATTCGGATCATTCGGGCCTGTAAGGGCTCAGAAGTCTGTTTTATCGTGCGAAAAAGTCCGTTTCACGTGATACTGAATTACGAATGAGGGGAGGAATGGCAGTATGAATGAATGGCATTTGAGTTGTGCGAGAATGTTTGTGTGCTGTGGCAATAGGTGTCGCGAGCCGCGTGCTGTGCACATTTCGTTCTCAAACATACAATTGGGCACATGTGTCAGTCATACCATCATGATGAGGTTTTTTACTTGACGTGATTGTCTCGGCACGGCATGTGTCTCTCGTGGGTCTGTCTCTTGTCCCTCCCATCCCATCCCCCCCCCCTTCCGCCCGTCATGGAATGGATATGCACACATTGACCGCACACACGCACAGACACACATCAGATGCAGTGAGTGCAGCCACCTGCTTGCTATTAACAAAGAATCATCAGATCACAGCACAGCACAAACAAACAAAGACAACGAAGCACTCAGGCAGGGCACATCACGTCAGATCGAGTCAGAGCTCGGTGCACCGACGACTTGACAAAGCACCGATATGACACACCACTAACGTACGAGTGTATGCACAATGAGAGCTATTCAGAGAGAGAGACACAGAGAGAGAGAGAGAGCTGTTTCATCCACACACAACGAAGAGCAGATGCAGCCGACTAGGCTGCGCGAGACAGTGAGTGGCAGTGACTGGCGCGGCGCTGCCGGCCGACCAGCGAATGAACGAACGAACGAAGAACTACCTACACGCGACTCTCACTTACTAAGCTAGAGCACAGCACAGCACAGCACAGCACAGACAGTGCAGTACACCAACATGCCGCAGACATACACACACATACATATACGCCGTTACAGACAGCAGGCAGGCAGGCAGACAGGCAGTCTTCCCCCCGGCCGTCAGTGCAGCTTCTCGTCAGCGAACCAGCCGTGGGGGGCCCTTACGGGGTACTCGGCTCCTCCGTCGTAGGCTCCTGCGTGGGGGCTTCCGTCGGAGCCGCCGTCGGCTCCTCCGTGGGGGTCCATTTGCAATCGGCACACGTGACGGCCTTCAGTGCGTTGACCTGGCCCCCCGTGACGCACAGGCCCTCGAGCGAGTCCATCTTCTCGGAAGTCGACAGAATGCGATGCTTGATGTCGCGATAGCTCTGCGCCGGATCCGTCGACCACAGAAGGGCAGCCAAACCTGAAGTCACAGACAAAGCAGCGATTGAGTGGATCGTCTAATGGGTATCACACAGCAGTCCTCAGTGCTTGCATGCGTACCAGCGACGAATGGCGTTGCCATGCTGGTGCCCTGCATTTTCGCATACTTGCCACCGGGCACGGTCGAGAAGATTGTCGTCCCCGGCGCAAACACGTCAACGCTCTCGAGGCCGTAGTTGCTGAACCACGCCTTCTCTCCTTCCTTAGTCGCCGCGCCGACGCTGATGACGCTGTCCAGCTCAGATGATGAGGGGTAGTGCATGACGACGTCAGTGTCGAGGTCATCGTTGCCAGCCGCGGCGACGAACAGCATGTTGGCCTCCTCTGCCTTTCTGATGGCCTCTTCCCGCGCCCTGGATGTGCCGAAGCTTCTGTAGCTGTTGCTTGTGAGCGTGGCCCCCATGGCAACGGCATAGTTGATTGCGTGGATCGAGTCAGCAGTGTAACCCCGACCATCCTGATGCAGGCGCACACAGACATGTGATTTGAGCGCTCCGTGACCCTATGTCTACTCGACTTACCTCGCCGCAGAGGAATTTGAGCGCCATGATCTTGGTTCTGCCAAATGCCACGCCTGCGATGCCCTCCTGGTTGTTGGCAGTCGCCGCTATCGTTCCACTACAGTGTGTGCCGTGGCCATGCTCATCCATAGGATCGCCGTCGCCAATGTGCGGGTTCTCGGATCCGTCGCACCAGGCCCAGCCGTGAATGTCATCAACAAAGCCGTTACCTGCACACAGACACATACAGACCCAGGAATGCATGCGGATCGTGTGTGTGGATGTCCCTTCCTCCCTCCCTCCCTCCCTCCCTCCCTGCATCCCTACTGTCGTCATCGATGCCATTGCCAGCGATCTCGGCCTGATTGACCCACATGGCGTCCTTGAGGTCCGGATGGGTGTAGTCGACACCGGTGTCAATCACCCCGACCACCGTACCTTTGCCCACTGAGTCGGCCCCACTG